CAAAAATCTTATCGTATATAGAGAAACGATAGCTCATTTGAAAGTACATTTTTAGATGATAATAAAAATGGTAAGTCGAATTGATATACTTCAATTACCCCAAAGTTATAATCCCTCGAAGAAAATACAAAAATAAATTAAATTTATTTTTAAAATATTGGGGTAAAACAAAAATTTTTTCAAAAATCTTATCGTATATAGAGAAACGATAGCTCATTTGAAAGTACATTTTTAGATGATAATAAAAATGGTAAGTCGAATTAATATACTTCCATTACCCCAAAGTTATAATCCCTCGAATAAAATCCCAAAATAAATTTTATTTATTTTCAAAATATTGGGTTAAAACAAAAATTTTTTCTGAAATCTTATCGTATAGAGATAAACTATAGCTCATATGAAAGTACATTAAAAACTGTCCATAAAAATGGTGAGTCGAATTAATATACTTCCATTACCCCAAAGTTATAATCCCTCGAATAAAATCCCAAAATAAATTTTATTTATTTTCAAAATATTGGGTTAAAACAAAAATTTTTTCTGAAATCTTATCGTATAGAGATAAACTATAGCTCATATGAAAGTACATTAAAAACTGTCCATAAAAATGGTGAGTCGAATTAATATACTTCCATTACCCCAAAGTTATAATCCCTCGAATAAAATCACAAAATAAATTTTATTTATTTTCAAAATATTGGGTTAAAACAAAAATTTTTTCTGAAATCTTATCGTATAGAGATAAACTATAGCTCATATGAAAGTACATTAAAAACTGTCCATAAAAATGGTGAGTCGAATTAATATACTTCCATTACCCCAAAGTTATAATCCCTCGAATAAAATCCCAAAATAAATTTTATTTATTTTCAAAATATTGGGTTAAAACAAAAATTTTTTCTGAAATCTTATCGTATAGAGATAAACTATAGCTCATATGAAAGTACATTAAAAACTGTCCATAAAAATGGTGAGTCGAATTAATATACTTCCATTACCCCAAAGTTATAATCCCTCGAATAAAATCCCAAAATAAATTTTATTTATTTTCAAAATATTGGGTTAAAACAAAAATTTTTTCTGAAATCTTATCGTATAGAGATAAACTATAGCTCATATGAAAGTACATTAAAAACTGTCCATAAAAATGGTGAGCCGAATTAATATACTTCCATTACCCCAAAGTTATAATCCCTCGAATAAAATCCCAAAATAAATTTTATTTATTTTCAAAATATTGGGGTTAAACAAAAATTTTTTCTGAAATCTTATCGTATAGAGATAAACTATAGCTCATATGAAAGTACATTAAAAACTGTCCATAAAAATGGTGAGTCGAATTAATATACTTCCATTACCCCAAAGTTATAATCCCTCGAATAAAATCCCAAAATAAATTTTATTTATTTTCAAAATATTGGGTTAAAACAAAAATTTTTTCTGAAATCTTATCGTATAGAGAGAAACTATAGCTCATATGAAAGTACATTAAAAACTGTCCATAAAAATGGTGAGCCGAATTAATATACTTCCATTACCCCAAAGTTATAATCCCTCGAATAAAATCCCAAAATAAATTTTATTTATTTTCAAAATATTGGGGTAAAACAAAAATTTTTTCTGAAATCTTATCGTATAGAGATAAACTATAGCTCATATGAAAGTACATTAAAAACTGTCCATAAAAATGGTGAGCCGAATTAATATACTTCCATTACCCCAAAGTTATAATCCCTCGAATAAAATCCCAAAATAAATTTTATTTATTTTCAAAATATTGGGGTAAAACAAAAATTTTTTCTGAAATCTTATCGTATAGAGATAAACTATAGCTCATATGAAAGTACATTAAAAACTGTCCATAAAAATGGTGAGCCGAATTAATATACTTCCATTACCCCAAAGTTATAATCCCTCGAATAAAATCCCAAAATAAATTTTATTTATTTTCAAAATATTGGGGTAAAACAAAAATTTTTTCTGAAATCTTATCGTATAGAGATAAACTATAGCTCATATGAAAGTACATTAAAAACTGTCCATAAAAATGGTGAGCCGAATTAATATACTTCCATTACCCCAAAGTTATAATCCCTCGAATAAAATCCCAAAATAAATTTTATTTATTTTCAAAATATTGGGTTAAAACAAAAATTTTTTCTGAAATCTTATCGTATAGAGAGAAACTATAGCTCATATGAAAGTACATTAAAAACTGTCCATAAAAATGGTGAGCCGAATTAATATACTTCCATTACCCCAAAGTTATAATCCCTCGAATAAAATCCCAAAATAAATTTTATTTATTTTCAAAATATTGTGTTAAAACAAAAATTTTTTCTGAAATCTTATCGTATAGAGAGAAACTATAGCTCATATGAAAGTACATTAAAAACTGTCCATAAAAATGGTGAGCCGAATTAATATACTTCCATTACCCCAAAGTTATAATCCCTCGAATAAAATCCCAAAATAAATTTTATTTATTTTCAAAATATTGGGTTAAAACAAAAATTTTTTCTGAAATCTTATCGTATAGAGATAAACTATAGCTCATATGAAAGTACATTAAAAACTGTCCATAAAAATGTTGAGTCGAATTAATATACTTCCATTACCCCAAAGTTATAATCCCTCGAATAAAATCCCAAAATAAATTTTATTTATTTTCAAAATATTGGGGTAAAACAAAAATTTTTTCTGAAATCTTATCGTATAGAGATAAACTATAGCTCATATGAAAGTACATTAAAAACTGTCCATAAAAATGTTGAGTCGAATTAATATACTTCCATTACCCCAAAGTTATAATCCCTCGAATAAAATCCCAAAATAAATTTTATTTATTTTCAAAATATTGGGTTAAAACAAAAATTTTTTCTGAAATCTTATCGTATAGAGATAAACTATAGCTCATATGAAAGTACATTAAAAACTGTCCATAAAAATGTTGAGTCGAATTAATATACTTCCATTACCCCAAAGTTATAATCCCACGAATAAAATCCCAAAATAAATTTTATTTATTTTCAAAATATTGGGTTAAAACAAAAATTTTTTCTGAAATCTTATCGTATAGAGATAAACTATAGCTCATATGAAAGTACATTAAAAACTGTCCATAAAAATGTTGAGTCGAATTAATATACTTCCATTACCCCAAAGTTATAATCCCTCGAATAAAATCCCAAAATAAATTTTATTTATTTTCAAAATATTGGGGTAAAACAAAAATTTTTTCTGAAATCTTATCGTATAGAGATAAACTATAGCTCATATGAAAGTACATTAAAAACTGTCCATAAAAATGTTGAGTCGAATTAATATACTTCCATTACCCCAAAGTTATAATCCCACGAATAAAATCCCAAAATAAATTTTATTTATTTTCAAAATATTGGGGTAAAACAAAAATTTTTTCTGAAATCTTATCGTATAGAGATAAACTATAGCTCATATGAAAGTACATTAAAAACTGTCCATAAAAATGTTGAGTCGAATTAATATACTTCCATTACCCCAAAGTTATAATCCCTCGAATAAAATCCCAAAATAAATTTTATTTATTTTCAAAATATTGGGGTAAAACAAAAATTTTTTCTGAAATCTTATCGTATAGAGATAAACTATAGCTCATATGAAAGTACATTAAAAACTGTCCATAAAAATGGTGAGCCGAATTAATATACTTCCATTACCCCAAAGTTATAATCCCTCGAATAAAATCCCAAAATAAATTTTATTTATTTTCAAAATATTGGGTTAAAACAAAAATTTTTTCTGAAATCTTATCGTATAGAGATAAACTATAGCTCATATGAAAGTACATTAAAAACTGTCCATAAAAATGGTGAGCCGAATTAATATACTTCCATTACCCCAAAGTTATAATCCCTCGAATAAAATCCCAAAATAAATTTTATTTATTTTCAAAATATTGGGTTAAAACAAAAATTTTTTCTGAAATCTTATCGTATAGAGATAAACTATAGCTCATTTGAAAGTACATTAAAAACTGTCCATAAAAATGGTGAGCCGAATTAATATACTTCCATTACCCCAAAGTTATAATCCCTCGAAGAAAATCCCATGTACCCAATCAATATACCATAAGATATAATACAATTTATAATTATTTTTAAATTTTTATTTTCAAATTTGATTTTCTCGATGGTGATACGTGGGCATCTATGATAGTATATACCATAAGAATCAGCATTAAATACTGTATCTAAAATACAACCACAACCTGTTATTTAATTATCCCACATATTTACATATTTAATAATCTCTTCTTTTCAAAATTTACTGGCTTCCTAATGCCTTCCAATTAATTTTCTAAAGAAAGAAGCCTTTTGTCTATAGAATTTTTTAAGTGCATGACCAATTGCGTGAACAATTTTGAATTTATAACTAATACTTAGAAGATTTTAAGCCTCCGTTTATTTTATTTTCAAGAGTTTCATTTTTCTTTTAAAATTTACTTAAAACCAGTAAAGTTTCCTCTCAGACTAGCAAGAAGCAAGATTGAAATCTATCAGTCCGTGTTAGAATGGGGGAACGGTTAACAAACTTAAGTGGGTTTTTAAATCAGACTAGATCAACCGAACGGGGCTGGGTACACGAGCTCGATCGCTCGATATTTTGGCTATATTCGATCACTATTCTTTTCCAAACTCGTTACTTTACCTCTTGTTTATATCAAATTCATTGTCTTATTATTTGTTGAGTAGTGCTCCAATATTTGCCTAATTATTACTCTCTCGCTTCAACCTCTCACGCTCTCTCACTTAGTTTTCTCTAAACCCCTTTATTTCTCTTTCCTCGAAAATTAATTTTTTAATTTTAGAATAACGTGCACCCGACAATCCATTACATAAAGAGTAACAGATCATAGGGGATAAGAGGGATCAAAGGAGATATCGAGTGATTAAATGGGATATCGGGGATTAAAGGGATTGAGTTGGATTAAGAGGAGGATATCAAGGGGATAAAATGGATATCGAGGGATAAAGTGGATATCGAGAGATCAAGGGGATATAGAGGCATTAAAGGGGGTATTGAGGGATTTTAGCGGCTACATTTTTCTGCTTCATCATTCAATCTTTTGCCATTTTCTAGGACACACCCACACTCATTTTTCTCTCAAACCCTTTTACCTCACAGTCCTTAATATTCGAATGGTAGGATGGTTGAACGTCTAACATTCTTGAGTTGGAGAACTCTCTGGATCCTCCCAACTCTCTGGATCCTCCCAACTCTTTGGATCCTCCAATCTTTTGCTTTATATTTGAGGTTTTGGTTAGTATTGGCCGGTGGATCTGGGGAAATCTCTAGATATCCTGAATCACGTCAAATTTCGAATATACCGACCCTAATTTCTAACGCTCATTTATACCACACACGCTCATTTTCTCTCAAAACTTTTACTTCCCTTTCCTCGAAAATTAATTTTTTTTATTTTAAAAATATTTTTTTAATACTTATTCTTATTTTAAAATACAATTTTTATTAAAAGAAAGCGTTCCTTTCTTTGCGCGCTTACACGTGAGGGCTATAAAGCCTTCATTCTCGACTGCCAATTAAAGCATTTTTCACACCTTTCTCTTTCTTTTAATTATATATTCTTTCTTTTTTCTTCGTAAACACAAAATTAAAATCAATTTTGGGTTACCTTGGCTTTTGTGTTTTTTTTTCTAATTTGGTGTTTAATTGATTAAATATGGTTACACCTCAGTTCAGTTCCGGCCCTATAACTCAGGGAGGGATGGTCAATTTTTCAAGTTCTTGGTACCAATCGATAGAGAATTGAATACTCTACATTATTCCAGAAAATTAAAATTTTAGACTTACTGGTAAAAAAGTTGTGATCGATAAAGTGCCCGGTACACTCCAATTCAGTCCCGAATCAGTTCAGCTCTGAGCCCTATAACCTATGAAAGGCCTGATATTTTTTAATGTTCTTGGTATCATTCTATAGAGAATTAAGAGGGCTACAATATTCCAGAAAATCAAAATTTTAGACTTACTCGTAAAAAAGTTATGATCGATAAAGTGCCAAAGAATCACATTTCTTTGAAAAAGACTAGTTTTTTGATTTGATTTTTTGAGCAATTTGTCAAAAATTTTGATTTTTTGAAGTATTGTAGCCCTATAAATTCTCTATCTAAAGGTACCAAAATAATGAAAAAGTGACCATCTCTTCATGAGTTATTTGGCCAGGATTTAACTGCTACTTAAATATACCCCAAGATTTTTAGCCTGTTTCAAAACTTATTTGATTAATTTAAAATTCATTTTAGGTTAAAATTTATTTTTAAATGTCTTTTGACAGTCCGCGCAATAAAAGAGCTGCTAATTTAAGCTCTGGATCAGGCAAGTTTGGAAATTTATGGAATTAAAAAATTAGAGAATGGGGTGTTATTACTCGTTCCTCGCTAAAAACACACCCTTAAAGCCAAAAAAAGTATCTTATAATAGAGGTTTATTAAATAGAGTGTATCGCTTAGGGAGCTCCCTCACCCACTATCCTACCAAAAATCAGTCGAACAGCATTATAAAATACCCCTTGAATACCCACCGTCTAGTAAGCAAAGGATATTCTTCTTGGGGATATTTTAAAGGGATGCTCAACTTAAACTAAAATTGGAAAGAAGTGAACCGGTTCCGGACCTTTACCGGTTCCATGGTTCCGGTTTCGAACCGGAACCGGAACTACGCCGGTTACGGAACCGTAACCCGAACCCCCACATCACTGTTTACGGGGTGCTACTTCACTCTTTTGATAAATATTCAACCCGTCACCTGATCTCCCCTCTCTTCACATATTTTATAGTCATGCTCCGACTCGAAATTTTTTTTAAAACTAAACTTCAGAATCAAAAAACTCTTCATCAGAATCTCAAAAATACAGAAAACTACAAAGGAAACGCAGTCAGATAGTCAGTAATTCTTTAAGAGGCTCTATTCCCTTGCTACCAGACGATTTGTTTCCTAATTTGCCTCAAATTGTAATTTTAATTTTACAAAAAATATCAATTAACACTTAAGAAGCAGGCGGCCAAACAAGCCGAAAAACGCATCACTCAAAAATCGCTTCCATCCGTGGTAACTTCCAAAGCTTTGGCTGTAGCTGAAACTAGAAGGGCGAAAACTGTCTTTTTCTATAAGGACGGGGACGAGTATTTTACGGCAAGTTTGATTTGAGAGAATTTTGAATTACAGTAAATGCTCTAATTAAAGCCCAGCTCTATTAGAAGCCCATATCTAATACAAGACTGCCCAAGGAGGCCCATCACATAAGGAGGACCCCCAAGGAGGCCCATTACTCAAGGAGGCTCACCAAGAAGGCCCATCACTCAAGGAGGACCCCAAGGAGGCCCATTACTCAAGGAGGCTCACCAAGTAGGCCCATCACTCAAGGAGGACCCCAAGGAGGCCCATATTTAATAAAAGCCCACCTAAGGAGACCCATATCTAATACATGCCCACCTAAGAAGACCCATCGGGGCAATATAATCCCAGTCTCTAATAGAAGCCCAGTCTTTAATAGACGCCCAATCAAATTGACACATTGAAGAATATATGTCCATTGCATATTAGAGCAGTTACGGTAATTGCCCTGGGTACTTAGGTTTGCGGATCTGGGAAAATCCCCAGATACCGTATATGATATCCGATCCGAAATTTTCCGGATATCCGGGATTTTTCTGGATACGTATTCACGCACCCTACCGTGTGTGTACTCAAGTAAATGCCCTGGGTAATTATTATTTTGATCTTTCATTGTATGGGGTATTAATTAGAGGAGATGAGCCCTCCTCTGAAGAGAAGGGCATTTAATTGAGTAAATGGATATGTAATTATTGTTTTAACTTAGTTGAGAGAGGGGCATTATTTTTTTGAATTTGCATTAATAATAGGAAGATTTAAACAAAATTTGGTTCCTATGCCTAGTAAAAATTTTATATTGCGCATTCAAAAAAATTATTCAAAGGGCAAATAGTACTTTAATTGCTTTGCGCAGGCCGGAAATTATTTTTTTTTCATTCCTCTTTTTTGTATCTGTTACTTTTTTTTCTTTATTTTATTATTTTTTTATTTTTTCATTATTTAAATTTTTATTTTAATTATTTCCACTCTTTCTATTCATACTTTATAATGGCTTTACAAAAATTTCTGAAAAAATTTTTGGTCTAGAAAATTTAACAGTCAGCTAATCCCTCAGCTTCAGTCAGCTTCCGCACAGAATTCGTTCAGCTTCATCCCTATTTAAATCGAATCAACCTCTTCTACCAAGAATTGCCGGGTTACCCGAAACGCGTAACCCGGCCCATTCTTGAAAGAAGCTCGACCCCTTTTCTTAACCCGGCCCCTCTCTACTTTCTACAGTAGTCTCCCTACTTCTCCCTACACACTCACGGATTCAACGCTCAACATGGACGACTGTCAAGTGTTGAACGTCGAGTGGTACGTGTGTCGTTTACATTGAGATAAAAATTCAGAAGCAAAACGTTTGGCAATCCGATGTAAACGTAGTACTGTTATCGTTCAAAAAACGAATTTTTAAAATAAACCCCGCTTTTTCTCAGCGATGCTAAAAATTTTTCTTTTAAACACCGCTGGTCTAGGAAATAAATTATTAACAAAGAAATGTTTAATAATTAACAATTAGCTGCTTAGAAAAATGTATTTTATATTATGCATATTTTATACGTTCATATTCCATATATTCTCTTAACACATTTTAAGGCAAATAAAACGGTTCTACTTGACTTTATGAGTCCAATCGAACTTTATGAGTCCAATCGAACTTTATGAGTCCAATCGAACTTTATGAGTCCAATCGAACTTTATGAGTCCAAACAAATTTTATAAATCCGACATGTCTTTTTATTCTAAGTAAAAATTGTGGTTCTACTACAGTTTATGATTCCAGTCACAGTTTATGAGTCCAATCAGATTTTTGTGAGCTACGGGGGTAGGTCGCCAGATCAAAGCTGGTGATGAAAAAAGGGATAGGTTTATGTTGCCGACCCAGAACCCAGCGACCGTTGACTCCCGCGAGGCGCGTGCCGCAAAACCCCGCGCGAAGTGCGGGGTTTTGCACAAGCGTCTCGCCTATACTTCATAGGTCTAACAACATAAGCCTATTCATTTTTATTGTATTATTTAATAAATGTATTATTTAATAGAATCTAATAAAATGTGATTGGACTCATAAAGTTTAGTTTGGACTCATAAACTTTGATTGGACTCATAAAGTTTTATTTGGACTCATAAAATTCGATTGGACTCATAAAGTCAAGTAGAACCAATAAAACAACTAGGCAATTAAAAATAAAATTTTTGAATTACCGTATTCTCGCTAATAAAACGGCTGGCCCTTCTATTTTCCAATCATTCTCCAAAGGGCTATATTAGGAAGGGGCCTTTCAATTAGAGGGGGTATGAATATAAAGTATGAATATAAACTGGAGGGGGCTCTTTTATTAGAGAGGGTCATTCAACTAGAAGGGGCCCTTCTACTGTCCAATCATTAACAAGGGGCTATATTAGGAAGGGGCCATTCAACTAGAGTAGGCCCTTCTATTAGAGGGGCCATTCTATTTTCAATCATCCTCCAAGGGGCCACTCTATTAGAGGGGCCATTCAACTGGAGGAGGCCCTTCTATTTTCAATCATCCTCCAAAGGGCCACTCTATTAGAGAGGCCCTTCTATTAGAGGGGGCCATTCTATTAGAGAGTATACGGTATTTTGAAAATTTTAACGATCTTAGAAAATTTAAAAAATGTCTTCTTTACCCTCTATTTTTGAAAATTCAAACGTCAATGACAATAGGCGCAACTCTCGACGTCATCTCCTTGTGGGAGTAGGTGTTAGTAAAATACCTAGGCGTGCTAGCACTTCGGTAATTTTTAAAGATTTTTGATTATTATGCTTAGTGTGGGTAAGTTATGCGGTCTTAAATTTTTTTACTATTATCATCTACATTAGGGCTGTGCGCCAAAATTTTCGCGTGGCGCGCCAAACTCCAATTTTTCAAATTCTTGAAATACGCCAAACTCCATAACGCCAAATAGACCAAAAATGGACGCGAAAACGGCATGGCGCACAGTTCTGATCTACATGATCTATATGTATCAGAGACTGATATGTGCCATATCATTGAAAGCTTAATCCAATTTTTGTCTGGATCTGGCTAATTAATTGGTCCGCCTTTTTTAAGGAGACCGCAGTTCTCTAACCATTATGAGTCTAATAATGGTCTCATAATGGTCAGAGGACTGCGGCCCCCCTTAAACGGAAGGAGTGCCTATTTTTGGTTGGTACATATACCGTAAATATCCTAATACAAACCCAACCCTAATAGCAGCCCATGCCCTATTAGAAGCCCACCCGATGGAAGGTATTGAAAAATACAAGCTTAGGGCTTCTATTAGGATATTTACGGTAACTCCGATATTTACAGATTTTATTAAAAATCCGCTTATTCTAAGCGGAATGGTCGGGAATTTTTATTCCAATTATTTTTTTCAGTTATTTTTTTATTCAAAAAATTTTGTCAATTGTCTAAATCCAGCATATTAAGCATTTTTTAAAATAAATTTGTCTTTATTGCCATAGCAACCTTTAATAATTGTCCTCTTATGCGTCTAAAACTTGAACATATAGCTTAATAAATTAATTATTAAAAATCTAAGACCGTTCAGTATGTGTATTAATTATTAAGGACGTGAGAAAAAATTTTTTTTGAAATTTTTTCTTAAAAATTTTTTCGAGGCCTCTTTTTTCAAGAGAAGGCTTCTTTAACTGCTTTTTTAAATAGGAAGGAGTACCTTATTTATTCTAATATAAGCCCACCTCTAATATAAGCCCGTCTCTAATAGAAGCCCGTCTCTAATAGAAGCCCACCTCTAATAGAAGCCCGTCTCTAATAGAAGCCCGTCTCTAATAGAAGCCCACCTCTAATAGAAGCCCGTCTCTAATAGAAGCCCACCTCTAATAGAAGCCCGTCTCTAATAGAAGCCCACCTCTAATAGAAGCCCACCTCTACTAAAGCCCGTCTCTAATAGAAGCCCACTTCTAATAGAAGCCCGCCTCTAAAAGAAGCCCATTCGAGGAGACCCATTCTAGGAGAGCCTCTTTTTTCAAGAGAAGGCTTCCTTAACTGCCTTCTATAATTAGACATTTTTTGAATTTTCTAAAAATAAAGTTAGGCGAGTGTTAATTATTTAAATGTTAGTTAGTATCTGCAGAAAATTTGATATTGCTACTACATTTATTTAAAAATAAAAAAAATTTTAATATATTAAGTAGAAAGCATATAATAAAGTAAGGGTAATAATTAAATGAGCGAGAGTCAGTTATAAAAAAATTTGAAATTTATATTTCAATTCTAAAGCAATTAAAATTGCCTGTATAATCTAATTAGAGCTTATACCTACTGGGAGATGATTTAAAAATGGTTTTAAAAATGAAGTTAAATCTAATAATTAATAGGGCCTGTGCTTCTTTTAGATGCCTGAACCCTATTAGCCCTATTATTTGGCCTGAGCTTCTAATAGGGCCTGAGTTTCTTTAATTGATGGGCTTGTATCAGTATATTGTATTAGTATATTTACGGAATTCTAGTAGTTTATTTAAGATCGGACCGAGTCGAGATCTTGAACAAAAATCTAGGTTATTGAGACATTACTCTAATTAAGAGTAATGTGAAAGGAACATCGTGGGTAGTGTAAAGGAAATATTAAAAGGAGCGGATCGAGGCGAGTATTGAACGAAAATATCGGTTATCGAGAATCGAGGTTGTTCGACTTATCGCTCTCCTTTCTCCACGACCCCTTCCTGTCCTTCCTTCTAAATTCAAATTTATTTCCCCTATATTCAGGGTGTTCGAGTACCAATAAATAAAGGGCGATTCCGAACAATGGATGCACTCATGGACTCTCTAAACGACTCCATTCCTATGCCTTTTGGCGTTCGTCGATTGCACACCCCCAATGGCAAAACTCCGATTCGTTCTATAGACGAACTCCAACCTCATGGAAGGTTTTAAATTTTAAATAAAAAACTATTATAAAACATAAATAAATGTTTTACGGAAACATCTGAACATTTATGTATGTTTATTCGCAAAACAATGTTTGGAGAAAGCTATGTTTCTACAAACATTGTTTTGAATAAAAACAACATTGTTTTTCCGGAATAAAACGAACATCTAGAAAAACAATGTTCGTTCAAGCTTTCCGGAAAACAAAATAAATATAAAAAACATTAAGACATCTAATAAAACATTTTTCCGGAAAACATTAAAAATCTAATAAAACATCTAAACATTTCCAGATGTTTATTCTCCAAACAATGTTTTTATTTATTTAAACATTGTTTTCTGGAATAAAACAATCATCTAGAAAAACAATGTTCGTTTAAGTTTTCCGGGAAACATAATTAAAGGAAACATCTAATAAAACATTTAAACATTTCCAGATGTTTATTCTCCAAACAATATTTTTACTTATTCAAACATTGTTTTTCTAAATACAATATTAAAACATTGTTTTCCGGAATAAAACAAACATCTATAAAAATAATGTTCATGCTTTCCGGAAAACATTATTAAATGTTTTACGAAAACATCTGAACATTTATTTTTTCCAGATGTTTCTCCAAACAATGTTTTTATTTTATTATCCGGAAAAACAATACTAAAACTTTATTTTCTATAATAAAACTTGAGCGCACATTGAAAATTTGTCCGATCAAGTTTTCCGGAAAACATTCTTAAATGTTTTACTCAGGTACATTGCGGCCTCTAGCACCCGACGAGTTCAGGGAGTCGATTTGGAGGCAATTGAACGCAGAAAACGGCACAGGGAAGACGCCCAACGTCGCTGGAACTTTCAGAGTTCGCCTACAACTACACATGGGGGGTCGGCGAATACAGGTCAAATTCAATTGACAGCGTCAAAAGGGGGAGCGGCAGAGATTAATGTAAGTCTATGCTCTATTAGAAAAATTTTTAGAAAATTTCTAAATTTTCTAAAATTTTCAAAAAAAATTTTCAAAATAAAATTTTCAAAAATTTAAAAAATTTTCAAAAAAATTTCAAAATTTTTCAAAAAAAATTTTCAAAAATTTTCAAAAAAATTTTTAAAAATTTTCAAAAATTTTTTGAAAAATCTGAAAATTTTCAAAATTTTTCAATAAAAATTTTTCAAGAAAATTCTTCACAAAAAATTTTTTTTAATAGATTTTTAATAAATTATTTAATTAGACCTAACAGATGTTTTTATTTTATTTAAATAAGCATTCAAGCCAATATTTAATTTCATGTTAATAGCTATTAACGTGAATGTTTTACCCTGCTTATTAAATATTAATCCCTCCAGGGTCACAAAAATATTTTTTATCCGTTAAGTGTTATTTTAGAAATATTTTTAATTGCTTTGAGGATTAATTTCATGAGGATTTTCCTTTTTTAAGAGAAAATGTTCCTCAAAAAATTTTTCTTATGACTCGAAATATTTTTAAGCCTTTAAGTGATGCTACTTCGAGCGCCTTTTCCATGAAAAAAAATTTTTTTTGAAAAATTCTGAAAATTAAAAAAAATTTTGAGCGTATACCACCACTCTTTGTCTAAGTAAAATAAATATGGCAGACCTGCTTTATATTTATTTTTTATTTAAATTATACTTGCGTGTGTATTTTAATAATAACTGGGGCATTGTTAGTTGACAGCCACTATTATTTGCTTTATTTAATATTAGCTTACTAAAACATTACTTTGTTTAATGTTTTGAAAATCAATGTTTTTGCCCCAACAAATAAAATTAATATTGTTTTCCGGAAAAACAATGTTTAAATAAATAAAAACATTGTTTTGAGAAACATTTGGGAATGTTTAGATGTTTTATTATATGTTTAATTATGTTTTCCGGAAAGTTTTAACAGAACAAACAATGTTTTTCCGGATGTTTGTTTTATTCGTTTTCAATGTTCGCTCAAGTTTTTTTCTGGAAAATAATGTTTTAGAATTATTTTTCCGGATAATAAAATAAAAACATTGTTTGAAAAACATTTAATAATGTTTTCCGGAAAATCTTGAACGAACATTGTCTAGATGTTTGTTTTGTTCGTAAAAGAATGTTTTAATATTGTTTCCGGAAAAACAATGTTGTTCTTACTCAAAACATTGTTTGAAGAAACATAGATTTTTCCAAACATGTTTTGAGCATAGCGTCCATAGATGTTCAGATGTTTCCGTAAAACATTTATTATGTTTTCCGGAAAGTTTGAACGAACATTGTTGTTTATTTTATTCCGGAAAACAATGTTATAATATTGTTTTCGAAAAAACATCGTTTAAATAAATGTTCATGAAAACTATGTATGAATGTTTTTGTAAAACTTTTTTTCCGGAAAACTTGAACGAACATTGTTTTACTTGATGTTTATTGTTTATTTTATTCCAGAAAAATAATGTTTAATCAGGAAACATCTTAAGGAAAAAATAAATGTTTAGATGTTTCCATAAAACATTTAACTATGTTTTCCGGAAAACTTGAACGAACATAGTGTTTCCTGATGTTCGTTTTATTCCGGAAAACATCATTGATTTATTTTCAAAACATTGTTTATGTAAATAAAATCTATGTTTCTCCAAACAATTTTCTCCAAACAATGTTTCTCTCTAAAAACAAATAAATAATGTTTAAAACAAATAATTAAATGTTTAAAACAATTAATTATATATAAACTTTATTAATAATTAAAGAATTTTATTTAAAGTAAACACATTTTTCGCATAGTGTATAATTAATATTAGTTTCATATGAAACTGCCATAAAATATTCTCATTAATTTAATTAAAAAATAAATGCTTGAAAAGTTGGTTTCGCTTTTCCACCACGCAAATATTACAGCTAAGAGTGCAACTACTTCTAGGGTTTTTTCATTCTAAAAATTTTTTTCTGAGTTAAATAAAATAAAATATATTAAGTAAATTTAATTTAAAAATTCCCAAACTAAAAAATTTAAAAAAAATATTTTTTTGCCAGACCCGCGACCCTCGCAACAACCAAGATAATACGAACATGTTTCAATCCTCACAAGTTGGAAGAGCTTCACGCTCGCGTAGCGAAAAGCTACCTGCCCCGGAAGCTTCAACTGCTTTGTCTACTCAACAAAGAGTAAACAGTACATTTATGCCGGTGACTTCAAAGCAGGTGGAAAATTTTTTTTGAAAATTTTGGTAATATTGGCACTATCTCGCCAAATTGGCAGTATCTGCCAAAATTGTGGCACTATCTCTCTATATGTCCGCAAATGTTTGTATGCAACTATTTTTCCCTTTCCTTCTCCCTTCTATTTCCTCTTTAATCTTATGAGAGGAGAAAGAAAATGCAAAAAGTTGCGGACAAAAGTTGCGGACAAAATTTTGCAAACTAAAGTTGCGGACAAAATTTTGCGGACAAATGTTGCGGACAAAATTTTGCGGACATGTAGGGAGATACCCCATTAGTATTGAAATTTCAAAAATTAAATTAAGTTAAAACCCCTTCAGATTTATTTTGTTCTTAATGGCAACCCACATCGTTTCTATCGCACTCTTGTGAGTCCTCTTAGTAGAGGCGAGTTGGATCACTTATTGGAGGAAATAAGCGAAGGTCTGCACGTGGCAATATTTCGAATATATTCGTTCGAAGGCGATCGTATTCTCAACGTTGAACAGTGAGTAGTCAAAAAAATTTCAAAATTTCCAAAAATTTCAAAAAAATTTTCCAAAAAATTTCCCCACAGACTTCTTCAACTAAAGGACTCTCGCGCAATTGCAGTACCCAGACATGAACGTCTTCAACTCAACGGCCAGACCAACTCAGACATTTTAAGGCCTGTTATTCCTCTCCAACAACAAAAGCAATCGACTGGTACACTGCTTCTTCCGCCTATTAAGAATGGCAATAATAAATCTAAAGGAACCGGAACCTCATCTTCTAAATCAGTGCCTCCCTATCGTGGAAATCACTCAAAGAGTATATTTTAAAATAAATTTTAGAGGAATATAAGGACCTAGCTACATATTAAGATACATCCTTGGGCTGAAAATTGTATCTTGTAATGAGTTGTATCTAAATAGAGGGCATTGTCTTTATCCCCTTTATGTTGTCCACGATGTAAAGAGATTTATTGGATGGGAGATGGAATAGAACCATCATGGAAAGGGCTTAAGGGCACAATCGACCATCCAACCCAATGATGGGTTCGTTTATATTCTTTCTTCAAGTACGGACACAACATCCCTCTCAGTGCTAGGCCAATTTGAAAACACTATCTGGAATCGTGGTGTATCTAGCTACTCTTGAGTGTATCTTAAATACGCTTGGACCCCTCTCAGTGCTGAGGCTCCCCTCAATTACATTGACTCTCCCTCTATCGTCTAAAATCCCCTCTCAGTCCCCTCAGTATCTCGTATTAAGTTCCTCTCTCAATTGCTTAGACACGCTCACAGTAGCTTAGAGTTCCCCTCTTAAGTATTTAGTGTGTCCTTAAGCGAGGTCCATCATAGAAAATAAGCTACATTTCCTTATAATTTAATTTACAGCTCGACAACCCAGCAATAACATTGACAGACTCCCCGCCTACGAAAACCTTACACGTTTCGATTTAAACATTAAAAAGAAACGGATGCTTAACTCAACCAATTCGCAAGACGATACCAACATTAATTTGCTAAATAACGGGGAAGTTTCTATCCGCCAAAGGTCCTTCAGTTCGAACAATGCACCTCCAGTTAAAATGGCCGCATCTGGCGCCATTAAAGTTAAGAGGAAATTAACGACCCTGGGCCCTACAAAGGCTAAGGATACTGTAAATGCAGCTGAGAATACTGCTACAACTTCGTCAACAGTTACCACAACTACGACTAATAGTAGGGATTAGATTTATCAGAATATATCAAATTGTCATTCTTAGAGTGAAGGGAACCTAGTGCGAAGGGACATAGTGCGAAGGGAACATTTCTGATAATGCGAAGGGAACATCTTTCGTAATGTGAAGGGTTGAAACAGTGCTGGGGCTCCGACTAGAGATTGAAGTGAGAGTGTCGATATCTCGATCGATCGACACTCTCGATATCTCGAAAAATCTCAGTCTCGGGATTTGACCCAGATTTCGTTATGGTCCGATCTCTTGTTAAGACCATTTCAAATTTTGGTCAGGCTCCAGAGCTAGGTAGCTCATTAGTAGAGATCGGCTCGATACGATTTTTCATCGATAATTATCGATATTTTTCGATATTTTTTTTCGATATTATCGAAAAAATATCGACCGACAAAATTTTGACTTTTTCGATATTTTTCGGTATTCGATATTTTTTCGATATTTATCGAAAAATATCGACCGACAAAATTTAAAAATCGAAACAATCGACCGACCAAATTACAAAAAATCGAAAAAATATCGAACGTCATTTTTGACAAAAATTTGGATTTTTGGCGCCAAAAAGGATGCATTTTTGCTTCTTGCTCATCAGAAATTCAAAAAATTTTCGCCTGCGGCGCAAGAAAGGAGGAAGGTTTCTTCTATATTCACGATTTAGTTTGCCAAAGCGAGACGAGAGTGTGATAATATACAGTGATGTCAAAGTTCCAGTTCCAGTTCCGGAACTAATTAGTTCTAGTTCCAGAACTAGAACTACGGAACTAGTAAAGCCTGGTTGGATATTTTTCGAATCCAACTTAATCCCAGTGAATCCCCAGATATCCCCCTTCATCCACTATTGATCCGAAAATGGAAATATTATATAACTAACAAAGGATTAAGTGGATAAAATGGATCTCGAGGGATCAAGACGACTTGGGAGAGCTAGATATCAAAACGGATATTAAATCCAAGATTTTTTATTTTCTGATATATCGTTATCCCCCGATATCCCTCTTAATACACAAATCCCTTGATATCCCTCCTTATCTCATAAATCCACAATATCACACTTACTACCTCTAAATTTTCGATACACAATCAGCCCTTCAATATCCCCCTTAATTCCTTAAAATCCATTATCCCTGGTTAAAATCCACTTATATCCCACTTGATCCTTTGATATCAAATACAAGTCCATTGATATTACATTTAATACTTCCAAATCCACCAATATCCCATTTAATCAATCTTAATCTCATTAGACTACTAGGTCTATTCTGTTATTCATTGGTTATAGAAAAATTTTTGAAAAATCGAAAAATATCGAGACTTTTTTTTCGATATTTTTCGGTTTCGATATTTTTCGATATTTATCGAAAAAATATCGACCGAGAAAATTTTGATTTTTTCGATATTTTTCAATATTCGGTATTTTTCGGTATTTATCGAAAAAATATCGACCGACCTCTTCGGCCGATCTCTACTCATTAGCTAGGTAGCCACTAGTGTAACCACTCGGACACTTAAAATCTGACACTGATAACATTAAAATACAAGTGGGTGGGCTACCCAACATTTGGGGATCAGCCTTTTGGGAACCCAAAAGTTGGGGATGACTTTTGGGGATACGACTTTTGGGGATCTGTCGTGTCCAAGTAAAGCTATCACAAAATTATCATCCCGATTTATTACCACAATTTTTAGCAGACTCAGATTCTGGTCGGCCTCGTTCAACAATGGAAGAGTTAGAAAATATGCCTGATGAAGTAAATGAAGAAAGGCCTGAAGGGGATGGAAATGAGAATGTAGATGGTGAGGAGGATGATTACCCTGAAGAGCCGCCTGAATTAATGGCATTGCACCAGATGGAAAAAAGGAGAAGGAAAAAATCTTCAAAGGGGAAAAATGAAGGGGATATTGGGGAGGAAGAGAGGGAAGGAGAGGAGAGGGAAGGGGGTGAACGGGAAGAGGTGATGGAAAAGGAGGAGGAAAATGAGGAGGGAGAGAGAGAGGGGTTAGATACTGTAGGAGATGAAATGGAGAATGGAAGGGAAGATGCGAGGGAAGATGGAATGGAAGAGAGGGAAGAGGAGGCTTTGGATGAGGTGGCGATGAATGAAGATGAAGACAAGGATGAGGATGATGAAGAGGATAATGAGGATGAAGACGAGGAAGTAAGGAGAATAAACAAGGTTGAAGATATGAAGGAGGAGGATGTAGAGGAAGTAAACGAGATGGATGAGGTAACAACTCCTCCAAAGATCGAAGAAGAAGCAAAATCACCTTCACCTGTTCAATACACAATTGTCCATACAGGTGGAAGCAACCCAGAACAGGAGAATGAAGGGGGAATGAGTGGAGTTTACTCAGATGAGTTGGAACGGATATTGTATGGACAGGCTGCAGTAAAGATTCAGAGCGTGTGGAGAGGGTGAGAATTAATTTCAATTAAATTTTATTAGTTATCTCGAATCTCGGTCCTCAAGCCGGCCTCTATTGTGAAGGCAACATTTTTGGTATTTAGAAGGGAATATATTCCGTAGTGCGAAGGGAACCTAATTGACATCTTTGAGTAGTGCGAAGGGGACAACTCCTAGTGTGAAGGGAACCTTTAGGAGACCTAGTGCGTAGGGAACATGTTTGTAGTGCGAAGGGAACATCTTTGCAGTGCGAAGGAACATTCGAAGTGTGAAGGGACACTAGCACGAAGAGGACATTTCTAATAGTGCTAAGGGAACCTCAACCGTGTTGTAAAGGGAACTAGTGCGAAGCGAACATTTCTGGTAGTGCGAAGGGAACATCATTATTAAGGTGAAGGACACTAGCGCGAAGGGAACATTTTTGATAGTGCTAAGGGAACATCCCCTTAGTTAAAAGGAGCCTAGTGCGAAGGGAACATTTTTGCAGTGCGAAGGGAACATAATTCTTAGGGTGAAAGTACCCTAGAACGAAGGGAACATCTTCCCTAGTGCGAAGGGAACATCTTCCGTAGTGGGAAGGGAACCATCTAGTTCTGAAGTTTTAACTTCTGATTTTTCTGTTTTCATTTCCAATCCTTTCAGGTACACAGTGCGCAAAGGCTTTAAACATACACGTTTCTCCGAACACCCGATTTACATTGGAACGGGCAGTTATGCCCCTAGGCGTCGTTCGAAAAATAATTTGTATAAGCCCAACGAAAGGCATCATGCGATTATCACACGTGTTAAAACGCCAAAATCTGGAAAGGTTTTTATTGGAGAAAGATTTTACAAGTTAAAAAATAATTTTAGAGGAAGACTTCATTTAAAAAGACGTCAACTACCATGCTTGTCCCCGATTATGGGAATGAAGTAAAATGAATGTTTATTAAGGAATATACTGTATTTTCTGTAATAGAGCCCCAAGGGTTTTTTCCATCCCACAAAGGGGGAACATTTTTGGTAGTCCGAAGGGAACATCTCTTAGTACGAAGGGAACCAGTGTGAATGGAACATTTTTCATAGTGTGAAGGGAACAAGCCTTGGTAGGGTGAAGGGACAACATCTTTAATAATGAAGGGAACAACATCTCGTAGTGTGAAGGGAACAAGTCTTCGTAGGGTGAAGGGAACATTTTTCATAGTGTGAAGAGGCAACATCTCGTAGTGTGAAGGGAACATTTTCTATAGTGTGAAAGGATATTATTTTGAACGAGGGGGGGGGTATTATTTTAAAAGCCATATTTTTCATCAAGAGGGGGGGGGGGCTCTATTTTTTTCTGATTATCAAAGGTGAGAGGGACCCTATTTTCCAGCCACCCTCCAAACGGAGGCTTTATTAAAGAGGGAGGGGCTCTATTCATTAAGGAGGGAGGGGCTCTAGTCTAGGCTCTAGGGAGGGGCTCTAGTCAGGGGGCTCTAATATAGAAATACTCTATTCTTTTTAACAGACAGCCCACGATTCGTCTTCGGATAGAGAAGAAGCCAGTGTTACCGAGCTACTTCAAGGAAAACAAAGATTGGGGTGGGAAATGTCACAGGATCACATTGACAAAAGCCCAGTAAATTCACAGAGAACACCTCGAACAGGTACTCTTGTCAGCCTTATCAGTGATAAGATAGTATTTCAGATTATCTCTACACAATTACCGTACTCACCGGAAACCGGTGGGCGGCTGATACAGAGGCCGATCTCTATATAATACTGGTGGGAGCTGGGGGGATTGAGTCAGAACGGCTATGGCTTCGACAGGAGTTCACAAATTGGTTGCAGAGTGGGGCAAATGGACAGCGCTTTCGTCAAAACCATTCAGACTCCTTCCAATTCAGAGTACCCAGCCGATTTGGAATTTTGAAAAAATTGACAATTGGGCACGACTGTAAAGGATACGGTAGTGGATTTTTGAAATCTTATTATCAAATAAATCCTAGGTGCTGGCATCTTCATTGATAGGATAATGGTTACTGAGGATGAAGAAGCTAGTGAGGATTGTCGCCAATTTCTTTTCCTATGCAATAAAGTGGGAGTTAAATTTAAAAATTAATTTGAATACTGTCAGGCCTAACTTGAAAGGCTACCCGACACTTGCGAAAACCGACACTTGCGTAACCGACATTCGCGAATCTGACACTAGCGACCCGACATTGGCGGACCCCAATACTTAAGGGTTCCTCACTCGCGAACCCCGACATTTGAGAACACCGACATTTGTGAACATTCGCATTTGCGGACCCCAACACTTAAGGGTTCGAGTTTTGTGAACTCCGACATTTGTGAACCCCAACATAGGAACCTCGATATTTTCGGGCCCCTTTGTGGATCCGACATCCGCCGATCCCTATCCTTGCGAATCCATAACTTTCAGACCAAAGAGTCTCAACAAATTGGTTGTCTTATAATGAGGTCTGACTTGACTGAGGTCTGACTCTGACTTGATAAAAAAAATTCTTAAGTGGCTTGATTCTGGCCAAGTTGATGGAAAATTGGAGCGCACAATTCGACTCAGCTCCTTCTACGAAATTTCATCAATCCCTATAGAGGATCGAGTAACAAGTAAATTAAAGATTTAAAGGGAAAGAAATAAAAAAATTTAAAAGGAGGCCGTTGGGAGCTTATTCTCCATGGAGGCTCAGAAAAGGGACTGGGTGGAACGACTTCACAATTATCCATTACTGGGTATGGAACTCGAGCCCAGTCAACAACCTCTGGATTGTATGACTCCAACATGGCTAAAGTGCCTTCTGATGCGTTGATACAGGTGAAAATTGCTTTGGGGGGCTGTTAAACTCTAGTGAAGCTCGGGAATCAAAATTTAACGAGAGTCGAGATCGAGGCCCGAGACCGGGAATTAGGTCTGAGATCGAGACGATAAAACCGAGACTCGAGAACCGAGGTCGAGAATCGAAACTCGAGCGATCGAGACTCGAATTCGAGAATCGAGAACCGAGGTCGAGACTCGAGAACCAAGATTGAGAACCAGATCGGGAACCGAGACTGAGACTCTCAAACTCCCGTGAAATTTCTCGATTCGTGAACGGAGACCGAGACTCTCGAGCATCACTAGTAAGCCTTCAATGAATTTTCAGCTTGATTTTGGCGACATTGGTGAACTACTTAAAGTACGTGTTGAGATTGATGGAACTGGAAGTAGTCCCGATTATTTTCTCAATTTTGTGGAATTCAAGGTGTGCTTTATTCTAACAGACAATTTAAAAAAATAATTACTGTAGTTTAGGGATCGGACTAAAGTGTCGTAAGACTCTCCCCCTCCCCCTCTCACCCATCATTGAGTGGGGGAGATATGGTGGACCACTGACTCTAGAGGGAGATTCCTAAGAGAATCCCCTATTTAAGCTACCCTCATTACAAGACACCTCATCCCTAAGGGTCTATTTTATAGTGAGCTCCAACCATACGAGTGTATTAATACTCCCATAATTCAAATATTTAAAGGATCTGGACACCGAAGAACGCTTTGTGGTCATGTGTGGAAAGTGGCTGCGTTGGAAAAGTACAAAGAAGGGGGATCAGCCGTTTAGAGAACTCTCTGCTTTTCATATCGGAGTTGAACCATTGCCTTGTTTCTTATTTTTAAATTTATTTTTAATCTAATCATTTATCAGTGATAACCTATGAAGGCAAAATCAGCATTCAGTCAACACCCAAAATTGAGTGTTTGAACAATAAGGAGGTTCTAATGGATTTGCATGGAGATCTTGGAGAGACTGGCATATTTCGAGTAACTATCTCCCCGCCTATGGACTACAAAGAAAAACAATTAAAATCTGGTGATGAGGAAAATATGCCGATAAATGAAGACATTGACAAGGAGAATGAAAATATTGTAGGTGTTACAGTAGGACCTCACTTTAGGACACTTAGTGGTTGGTAGACCACTAGGTGTGGGAGCTTTTGTACCATTTTGTCCAATGTACTTTTTTGTTCAATGTACCATTTTGTCGCATGTACAATTTTTGTCCATTGTACCTTTATGTCGCCTGTATCATTTTGTCCAATGTACTTTTGTCCAATGTACCATTTTGTCAGTTGTACACTTTTGACGTGTTTATCATTTTGTCCAATGTACCATTTTGTCGCCTGTACAATTTTTGTCCGATGTACTATTTTGTTCAATGTACCATTTTGTCCAATGTACTATTTTGCCAATATACAATTTTGTCGCTTCTACCATTTTTGTTCAATTTACTATTTGTCGCGTGTACACTTTTGTCAGTTGTACACTTTAGTCGTGTGTACCATTTTGTTGGGTGTACCATTTTGTCGTTGTATCCCTAATTTTTACCCTTAATAATAAGCCTAATTTTTTAAGCCCCTAGGGTTTATCTAAACTGAGGTTCTACTGTAATTTAGCCATTTTTTGGAAAATATTTTTCAAGTTTTACAGGACATTTCATTCAAAGTAGAGGCAGTAAGCGTCGGTCGAGTAGTCGGTGCCCGTCTCCGTTTCGAGCCAAATTCAATTGGAGAACAAATAGTAGATGGACTTTTGGCCATTCAAGGCCTCTTTCAAAAACAAGGGCTTTGGCCCCTCTCCTCAAATTCAGAATTTTTGTGTGGGCGAATACTCCTTCGAGAATCTTACCACACCCCGTATCGGTAAAAACAACCAAATTTTCAGTTCAAAAAATTTTTTTAAACTCTAGTTATGTCCTAACTCGCTCTCAATTTCATGAATTATCGGAGCAGGCCCAATATTGTACAAAAGAGTTATTGACAACCGAAATGGAGGTAAAAATGACAGGAAACCTCATGCTAAGCTAGCAGCTGATAGAATCCTACCCTATAATGGGGGAGTACCCCCTAAGGTTTCTCTCATCCATAGCCAACCTCTTTCAAAAGACATTCTTAAATCAAATTTAAGTTACCCAGAAAGCAAAGCTTATTTTTAAAACCCACTTAGTATTGACCTTATAAAGAGAGGTGCCTCAACTAGAGGGTATTCTTAGGTAACTCCTTCCACCCAGGGTTACCAAATTTTAAAGAGCCTATCTTAAATTAGTTATTTTAAGAGACCCAGGTTAAACTTTGCATCGTACCCTTACCATACCTTATAATGAGGGATGACTTAAATAGAGGGTAGCCCTTAAGAGCTTCTCTGACCCAGTAACGATCTCTTAAGGGGCGTAACCAAGTCTTATGGTATCGTCGCTTATAATGAGGGGTCCTTTAAATAAAGGATATAGCCTAGGAGCTTCTCCCACCACGAGACCAACCCTTTTGAAATGAGGTATCATAAACTGAGATGCTTCCAACTTTGAGGGTACATGGTGGGTACCGTATCCAATTTTGTGGGTACTGTATCTCTAGAGGTATTTCTAAAATTATCTAATCTATTTTGCTTTAAAAGGGTGTTTCCACTCGTCTACCTCGACGGAAACAATCACCAAAAGAAAGGTCCAATTGGTTACTCCAAGTTTCCCTGGCTTATGGTTCCACAATTTTGCCCGAGATTGAATTATGCGGGGAGAACGGCTCGAATGTCAGAATGCGCCCAATGAACACAAATTGCTCTGATGGGATGTTAAGCTATCAGGTGCCGCCAAAATCAACTCAAGAAAGAAGTGAAGGGAATGACGAGCTTTTTGGACACAGCAGAAAAAGTGATGAGAATGCAGAGCTTCTTGGACAGCTTGGAAAAAGGGAAGGGAATGACGAGCTTTTTGGACACCACAGAAGAACTGATGAGGATGCAGAGCTCCTTGGACAGCTCGGAAAAAGGGAAGGGAATGACGAGCTTTTTGGACACTACGGAAGAACTGAGGAGAATGCAGAGCTGTTTGGACAGCTTAGAAAAATACGCATCTTTATTGAGGATGAGGGGAAGAAACTGACTGGGGTGGAAGCTAGTGAGGAAGAAAATAATTTAGAAGACAAGGAAGTGAAGCAACCTTTCACTATAGTGGAGAAAATTAGAATTTCGGATACTGTAAATGGAGATGAAATTAGATTCCCGGCGGCAGACTGCCATTTACAGAAATATTCGGTTTATGAATTGTCGGCTATTTGGCCTGATAAACCGCCTATTCCGAGTAGGTTTTGAATAATAATTTTTAGGAAGATTATTGTAATACAGTATACAGTCGGACCTTCCTATAGGATAAGCCGCGGGCTGAAAAATATGGCTCTATTACACAATATACGTCCAATCAGCTATTATGCGTCCAATCAACTTTTATACGTCCAATCAAAGTTTATACGTCCAATGAAAATTTATGCGTCCAATCAAATTTTTATACGTCCAATCAAAGTTTATGCGTCCAGTAAAAAAATAAATTCAGAAAAAATCGAAATAATTTTATTTATTATAACGCCTTGCTCAAGGGCTACCAGAGATCCATTTAAAAATATTAAGAATTTAAGAAACGAATTTAATGTCTGTTATGTAAATTAAACGCTGACATTACAGGTAAATAACTATTTCCCATATATAGTTGCAGTACCCTCACGTACCAGTTCTATTCCACTATTCTAAGACATTCGAATAGCATTCGCACTATACCATCCATTTCTTAAGTGAACTAAATTTTTCACCATATATTGGAAGGGATTCGAATACGATTCCGAGTTTAATTTTTGGTAAAGCATTTAAAATTAATTGATTGAAATAAGATTTTTTATTTATAATTAATTTTTAAATTATATTTATTTTAAATTATAAATGAAAAGATACGTTTGGACGCATAAAATTTGATTGGACGCATAAACTTTTTATTGGACGCATAAATTTTCATCGGACGCATAAACTTTTCATTGGACGTATAAACTTTAATTGGACGTATAAAAGTTGATTGGACGCATAATAGTTGATTGGACGTATATTGTGTAATAGAGCCAAAAATATCATCTTGGGTTTACTCTAAATACATCGACAAAAGGACACAAACGACAAATGACACAAGCGACAAAAGGATACAAACAAACAAGTATAAAAACAACAAAAGGGCACATACGACAAAAGAATGCAAACGACAAAATGGCTCAGCATAGGCAGCTCTCGCTATTTGGCCAACCTAGTTTGAATTCCAATCCTAAATAGAGCTGTTCTAGTATTGGGTGGTATCCTATAGTGAGGTACGACTGTATAATATTCATGCTGCAGAAAATAAGCTTAATAAAAGCAAATAAAATTTAAATCCCCTTTTCTAGTTGTTATCTACTTTGTTCGGATTGTCGCCGGTGAAGCATCCCCTCAAACCCTGCCTGGCATAAACGTACGGCTTAATGTATCAGGAGAATATGGGTAATTTTGTTCAACTAATATGTATTCCCACTTAAATTTATTTTTAAGGGATGTTGGCTGGAGAACTTTAAGCCATTCAGAAATAGAAGAATATTCGGAACAACAACAACAATCTTTGGAGAATCAACAAAAAATTCAACTTTTTGCTCCAAACACGGTTGGAAACTATACATATGTATAGGACCTTACTATAAGACAGTCAATGATAGATACTCTCTATTCACGTTTGTACCTTTTGTAGGGTGTACCATTTTGTCATGTTTCCCCTTTAGTCGTATGTACCATTTTGTCGTCTGTATCCTTTTGTCGTGTGTACTATTTTGTCGTCTGTATCCTTTAGTCGTGTGTACCATTTTGTCGTCTGTATTCTTTTGTCGTGTGTACCATTTTGTCGTGTGTACTATTTTGTCGTCTGTATCCTTTAGTCGTGTGTACCATTTTGTCGTCTGTATCCTTTTGTCATGTGTACCATTTTGTCGTCTGTATCCTTTTGTCGTGTGTACCGTTTTGGCGTCTGTATCCTTTTGTCGTGTGTACCATTTTGTCGTCTGTATCCTTTTGTCGTGTGTACCATTTTGGCGTCTGTATCCTTTTGTCGGATGTACCATTTTGTCAGGTATTCCACTTTTGTCGTCTGTATCCTTCTATCGGGAATACCAACCCCGTGCCTGATCAGCTGCTCCCTTTTATCCATTTCTCAGACCCTAGGGGAGGATATCTTATAATTTGAAGCTCTGACTGATTTTCGTTTCTAATTCTATTATTTCAGCGAAATTCTTTTGAATTCGAGGCCGTTTCAATTGGACATTTAGACTTTGCCGAAATGGAAGTTTTCTGTTCCGACGCCCAAAACTTTTCTTGGGAATGTTCAGAATTAATAATAACAGACACAAACACAGCATTATATTACAAATTTAAATTTGATGGGTAATTCTCTTACTTGTGTAGTTTCCCTCCCCTAAAAAATTTTTTTGATGTACAGAATGGTCAATGTCATTGAAAAGCATATAGTTATTAATGCCTAAGGCTGTGCATTAGGCGGCTTGGTGTAATGGATAACACATCGGTGCGGTCTACTGAAGATGCTGGTTCACTCCCATAACCTTTTGCACTAGCTAAATGAGTGAAATAGCTAGCTAGCTGCTTTACTCATCCCTTCCTAGGATAATTTCACAAAAATTTCCCAGTGCATGCTTCAATCAGTCACTGGTTGTAGTATCTCACTAAAAGACATAAGGAGGGTGTGATTTGCCGCCCCCCCCCTTTTACACGCCCCTCCCTTTAGTGAGACAAAAAGGGGGGTTACTGCTAGAGACGTCTGAGACTCTTGGTCATGATTCCAAGACTTCTCTTGGGGGTTTTTTCTGTCTTGGGGTGTTGTCTTGGTCTCGAGTCTTGGAAAATTTTTGGTCTCGGACGTCTCTAGTTACTTCTGGGTGAGACATGTGGAAACAAAAGCATGTCCTAATGAAGGAGGTTTGACTGACTGAATGATGTCACAGGGGGAAATTTTGTGAAATTATGCGAGGAAGCAATAACTGACCATTTTGTACACCAAGGGAAAAATTAGATGGGGGAGGGAAACTGCACAAGCAACGGAAATTCTATTAAGATTTTACCATAAAATTATTTTTTCAGTCCTTTCTCTGAAACATGCCGTCTTCAACGTTGTCAAACACTACCCTTTAATGAAGCAACGAAATAATAAATTTTCTTATAGGAATTAGTTTACTAAACAAGCAACTATACTTAAAAAATCTCAAGAATAATTGAAGAATGTAGCAATATTTTTTTTATTTTTTAATTTAAAAATGGTCAGCCGACATTTGCGGACAGACTTTGGGATCTGCAATAAAGGTGGATTGGGATACACGAAACCCAAGACTTTTTTCGACTCGATCTGAAGAAATATTTTGAAAACCCGACCTGAAAATCCTTCTAACTTTTTCCCTACCCGTGACGCAAGCCTGGACCGCAAGGTATGCGTCGCCTAAAAACAAATAAAAATAGTGTCCGCAAATGTCTGTAGTTTTTAAAATATGTATTAGTATTGTATTTAGCTTATAGTTAAAATTTTAAACTTAAAAAATCGGTCTTGTATCCTTATCCTACCCCACCCTCTCATTATTTCGGATATACTTTAGCCGGTGGCCCACTCAGAAACGGGTCAAAATATATACCATTCGATTCGTCTCGGCGAACTGAGTCGAATGGTACCATTCTTTTTTTGCGGAAATTCCTACGAGCCGAGATATAGGTCCTTAAAAACCCCCTTTGGTTTTTCGGTTTTCAAGGACCTATATCTCGGCTCGTAGGAATTTCCGCAAAAAAAGAATGGTACCATTCGACTCAGCTCGCCGAGACGAATCGAATGGTATATATTTTGACCAGTTTCTGAGTGGGCCACCGGCTAAAGTACAGCCATTATTTCAATGCCGCGCCCATTTTCCCTGCGCCTAAAAATTCTAGAGACTGCCATATAGTAGTGATGTTCGAGACTCTCGGTCTCGACTCTCGAGTCGAGAAATTTCTCGGGTTTTTTGAGCTCTCGGTCTCGGTGTTTTGGTCTCGGAAAACGAGACTAAATTTACACCCCTAATGACGGAAATTTTTTGAACTTTACTCGGACCTTGCGTACTTTGATATTAAAATTTTTAAGGAAAAGTCTCCAAAATTCCCAAAATTTTGCCTGCGGCGCTGAAAAATGGAAGAAATCTGGCTTCTTGAGCTCCAAAATTCTCAAAATTTTCGCCTGCGGCGCTGAAAATGGAGGAAATTTGGCTTCTTGAGCTCCAAAATTCAAAAAATTTTCGCCTGCGGCGCCAAAAATGCAGCAAAAATTTGAATTTAATAAGATTAAAGGATTAGATTTTGTGGTTTGTGGTATATTAGATACTGTGGATTCTGAAGGATAAAATTTAATATCAAGGGATGGGTGCATCGATGGATCAAAAAGATATTGTTGGATTTGTAGGGATATGGAAGGATATGAGGGGATTTTAAGAGATTAATGTGAATATCATTGAATATATATTGTGGACAAGTGGATTCAAGCGAGTATGGGGATTTTGAGGTATATCAAGGGATTTTTGGGGATTAGGAGGGACATCAAGTGATATCCCTCTTAATCTCTCGGTCTCGACTCTCGGTCTCGACTCTCGACTCTTTTTTGGTCTCGGTCTCTGGGTTGATTCTCGGTCTCGGTCTCGACTCTCGACTCTCGGGATTTTTTGACTCTCGAACATCACTACCATATAGAAATAGAACTCTTTCGGCGTATAAAAAATGGGCGCGGCATTGAAAAAAGAGGCAGGTTAGGATAAAAAATTTCTTTCATTTTCTCAAAAAATGTCCCATACCAGGTCTCCAAAAACACAATGGGCCACAAATTCAGTAAAAAAATTTTTTTGACGATTAAAATTCAATTAGAATTTGAAATAAATTTTTCTAATAATTTAAAAATTTTTAATTCGTTCTAAATAGACCTTTTATTCATTTTTTGTTCATTTTCCTCTTCCTCAAGTTCCTCTTCCAAAGCCATTTCCATTAACATTTCAACCATTTCTTCCAGTTTTTCTCCACCTTCTAAAAATTCGTGAACACCGCTTATTGAATGCTGAAAAAATATTTTTTAATTTAAAAAAATTTAATTTCGAAAATTTTTAATTATAAATTTCGGATTTCGAATTTTTCTCGAAATTTCGAGTTTCGTTTTAGTGTTTCGAAATTTCGAGTTTCGTTTTAGTGTTTCGAAATTTCGAGAAAAATATAAAAAATATCGAAAAAAGTCAAAATTCGAAAAACGAAATTTCGAAATCGATTCGAAACGAACAAGATCAAAACGAAAGAGATTCGAGAACAAAAAATCAAATTCGAAATCAAGGCCAAAAAAACAATATTCGAAATTTCCAAAGTTTCGCTTTCGGAAATCTTTCGAAACTTTGATTTCACAAAATTTCGTTTTAGAATTTGAATTACAAAATTTCGAATTGTCGAAATTTAAATTTCTAAACTTCAACTTCGAAATTTCGAAATTTTACAAAATTTCAAAAAATTTTTTCTTCAAATTAGAAAATACCCTAATTTAGAATTCGAAATTTTTGGACCTCGAAATTTCGCCTTTCAAAATTTCGTTTAGAAGATTTCGAAAATTTTCTAAAAACGAAATTTCGTATTCGAGTTTCGTTTTCGAAAAAAGTTTCGAGTTTTTATTAAAATTCAAAAAAAAATTTTAAATTCTCCAAACCTTTAGCCTATGGTCAACAACTCTATTATCTTTATAATTAAATGTCCGAATTTTTTCTGAGCGTTCTGAAGACCCAACCTTTTAAAAATTAATTTTAAAAAATAATTTAACAATTAAAAAAAAACTTGTAATTTTCTAGTTCCAGAATATTTACTATTAATTTGATCAATTTGGCGTTTTAACAGAATTGCTGATAATCTTTTATGGGCTATCTGAAAATTGAAAAAAAAATAAATTAAATTTTTAAAAAAATTTTTGGAATTTACCAGGGGTACCCAGGGTTCAGATTTCAAGGGCGGGATGTGCGCCGAATCCTTGGCGTTCTGAACTCAAATTTATATGTATTTTTAGACTCAAATCACCCAAAAAATGTCACAGATTGACAAAAAAGAGAGGGTCGAATTTTTAAAAATTTCTCGTACCCTGGCTCAGAACCAAAATCGTGGTGGTAAGACAAGTGGAAATTCTCCTCATGAAATCGAAAAAATTTTGGCAAGAATTTTTTTGGTTCTTTTCCAGAGAGGGGACAGTCTAACAATAAGAAAAAAAAGTCGAAGCGAGTTAGGATCGAAAATCTAAAATTCTAAATAAACTAAAATACTAAACCCACCCGCTCATTCCTATTAGAGATCGGTATTTTTAAAAATCCTGGATCTGGATTTGGGTTGGTAACCTGGACAGGATTCTTGATCTGAATCCAAGAAAAATCCAGGACGATCAAAAAATGCCTGGATCTTGACTCTGGATCCAGAAAAAATCCAGACTTGATCCAGATCCAGACCGATCTCTAATTCCTATATAATTTTCTGAAACACGTGGAAGGGTGGGAGGAAGGTGTGTTTTTTGGTTCTTCCATTTACCTTTGGCTTTTCCATTTTTCTACCGTTGAAAATAACCGGACGCGTCCAACATTAGTGGAAAAGCCAAAAACATGAGAAAGGTGTGGATTTCCTACGCAAGAAAACCCCCCAACCAAAAAAAATTTTTTTAAAGTAAAAATAAATTTTAAAAAACAATTTATACCTTTTCATTAACTTGTAAATACCGTTCATCCTGAGCTTTTACACTGATACCTCCAAAATTAAATTTTTTTACTTAAATTAATTTAAAAATTAAACCCGTTGGAATGTGTGTTAATCTAACAGCTGTAGAATTTGCATTTACATTTGCACCCCCAGCACCAGAAGATCGCATAGTTTCTTTGCGTAAATCACCGGGTTGAATTACTAATTCTGGCTAAGTTGGAAAATTTTTTGAAATTTCTAAAAAATTTATTTTCAAAAAAATTTTTTTTGAAAGCCTCCAAAAATTTCAAAAAATTTTTCTGAAATTTCAAAAAATTTTCCGAAAAATTTACAAAAAAATTTTCAAAAATTTTCACCAGGTTGGATTACTAATTCTGGCTGAATTGGGAAAATTTGAAGATTTTGTTGAAAGCCTCCAAAAAATTTTTCCAAAAAAAAATTCAAAAGATTTTCAAAAATTTTTTTAAAATTTTTCGAAAAAAATTTTAAAAAATTTTTTCGAAAATTTTTTGAAAAAAATTCGAAAAAAAAATTTCGCAAAAACATTTCTGAAATTTTCAAAAATTTCTTTTAAGAAACCGTTTCAGGTACAGAATTTCGAAAAAAATTTTCAGAAAAATTTCGAAAATTTTTTTAAAAAGCCTCCAAAAATTTCAAAAATTTTTTCTGAAATTTCAAAAAAAAAAATTTTTTTTGTTTTTGGTAATTCAAAAATATTTCCGAAAAATTTACAAAAAAAATTTCAAAAAAATTTAGAAAATTTTTTTCAAGAAATTTTCCAAATTTCAAAAAAAAAATTTTTTTATTTTAAAGAAACCGTTTCAGGTTCAGGCAAAATTGCAATGCTTGAAGTACTTGTATGAATTCTTGTTTTGTCCGTTATTGGCGTCCTCTGCACTCTGTGAACTCCTCCCTAAAATTTGAAAAAAATTTTGTCCTCTTGAAGGTGTGGATTTTTTGATTGCGTCTTATAATCGCCACTAATTCGTGGTTGTCTTGAATACAAAAATTCCCCTCAAATCCATAAACAAAAGTAGAATATTTTTTAATTTTCAGATTCCCTCCTGATGGAAAAAACAGGCTAGGTCGGAACAGCCATAGAAAGTGACTAATAGGGTATGAGTCAGGCCCGTAGCCAGGGGGGATTCCTTCCCCCTGCCCCCGAAATGAGGAAAAGGAAAAAATTTGGAGAAGGTCCCCTTGGCCCCCCTCCCACCCGAAAAAAGCCTGGCTACGGGCCTGGTATGAGCTTCTAATGTAGTCGGGTCGGGCGGTGATATTGAAGTCGGGCGGTAATATTGAAGAGTACAGACCCCATTTTTTCCTCCCTATTTTTCCCCTTATATTTTTACAAAATGGTCAGACTTTTTTCTTCCTTCCATCCAATTTGCCTTTCTAATTTTTGCCTGAATCAAAGAAAAGGGATTATTTTTGATATTTTATTTCCCATTTAATAGAAAAAATGAGTCTTCTCAAAACTCATACTTGTTAAATACCAAAAAATAATTCTTTTTCTTTGATTCAGGCAAAAATTAGAAAAGCAAATTGGATGGAAGGAAAAAGTCTGACCATTTTGTAAAAATATAGGGGGAAAATAGGGAGGAAAAAATGGGGTCTGTACTCTTCAATATTACCAGTTGGGCTTCTATTAGAACATAGGCCCACTTAAAAAAAAAACAAATTTCGCTTTTAATTACATGTGGGTCGGAAAAGCCGAAGGCGACAAAAAGCTCAAAAAGCCAGTCAAGTGTCGAAGCCTGACAGAACTTGAAATTTAAATCGAAAAACAAGGTCCGGCCTAGCTCCGTTTTAAATTACAAAAAATTAAAAAACCTCAAATCTCAATTTAGCATAACAACCTTCTCCTTCAATAGAAACTATGGCTGAGCGAACACCCGTAGTAGATGACTTTATTCGGTCAATCTGAAAATTTTTGAGGAATTATTTTATTCTTAAAAATCAGAGGTGGGTCGGAACAGTCAGAGGTGTCGGAAATCAAAAGAGCCGGAAATCGGAACTTGCTCAAATGTCGGAACTCGGAACTCAAAATTTTTTCGGAAATCTGAAAAAAACGTCGGAAATTGGAAATGAATTCCGACCCACCTCTTCTAAAATGAAGAAAATAACCTCAAAAGGAATCCATTTCCATCCATTCCTTTCAGAAAAAAGCCTGTACATCTCAAGCAATTCGTTTGTAAAAAGGGCTGCTTCAACTCCTCCAGCGCCACTAAAAAAAGAGGGCAAAATTCAGTCCAGACAAGTACCGTTCTATCAAACCAATGCCCTTATCATAAATGCCAAGAGTTGAGAAAGCCCGGTCAGGTTTTGGAACGAAAAAAGACAGGATTTCAGGTAACCAGTAGGGTTGTTCCCCGTCCCCGAAAGTCGGGGAAATCCGAAATCAATAAAATTTTAACTCATATTCGGACTCATTTACCAGTACAATCGATTACCTACTGGCAGCAAGGGTGTCCGCAATTTCGGATTGACTTGCGGATTTTGACTTGCGGATTTTCAAATTAAAATTGCAAAAAATTTAAAAGGCAGCAGAAAATTTGATTCAATTGCGGACAGCCCTGACTGGCAAGTCTAAAATATCAAAAAAACACCTCCTCTACTTTCTATTGAGCTGAAAATATGGGGAAAAAGGGGGGAGACAAACCCGACTATTACCAAAAAATACGGGTACACCCCCATGTACCGCGGAGCTATAAATTCGTTCAAAGTGGTCAAATCCGAGACGATTTAGTATGGTTCAATTCAGCTCGCTAGGCGCATCGAAACATTCCAAGGCGCCACGAATTCGGAATCTTTGGACGAAGTTATAGCGGTACATTGGCCTGCTCCCAAAAATATTTTTTGAAAGAGAAAAACCTGTTAAATTCCATCTGACACTTATTCAAAGAGTAAACATCAATTGAAAATTTTGAGGTTGATGCAAATCTTATAGAGCAAGTATGTATTGACTTTGATGTTTTAAATAAATTAATTATAAAAGAATGGAGAAGAGATGAACGTCTTGTTGTCATTTGGTGAAAAGGCATTCCTAAAAGTTGAAAATAAAATTTTATTTTCCTCAAAAAAACCGAAACCTACTTAAAATCCCGAAAATATCCACAAAACTACTGTTCACTGACCAATCGGGTTTAGGCCAAATGTCGTCTACCAAAATGACAAAAATGACATTTGATCCCATTTTTAGGGTACGGCCCACCTTGTCGCGGGCCACCTTGTCGCGACCACCTTGTCGCGACCACCTTGTCGCAGGCCACTTTGTCGCAGGCCACTTTGTCGCAGGCCACTTTGTCGCAGGCTTTCCTTTGGTTTTTATTTCAAGGCTGGCCTAAACTTCACTCGCCACGTGCCGTACTTCATCCCACGGCTACAACGATTGGAAATATGGAAGGTTTAGAATTTCTATTTTGTTTTCTAGGTTTTTTTTAATTTTTTAGTTAATTTCCAGGAGTGTTTTTTCCTTTTATTACTTTCTCTTATCCGGTTAAAGTCTACCGGAGTTTTAACAGAGTAAAACCGATCCAAATTACTCCTTAAAACCCCGATCGTGCCCAGAAGGCCTTTTTCCTACCCTCCATATCAGCATAAAAAATTTTCAACCTTTGCGACAAGGTGGGCCTGCGACAAGGTGGTCGCGACAAGGTGGTCGCGACAAGGTGGCCCGCGACAAGGAGGGCGTGTCCCCCATTTTTAATGTATTTTTGAGTCTTATCATATTATGCCAATCCACAATTTGCCAATAAGGGTAGAAAATCTCGATTTGTCATTAAGCTTGTAGGCAAAACGAGAATTTTACCCTTATTGGCAAAATATGTTGTTGGCAAAATAGGGACAGAGTTTTTTGTTTTGGTTAGAGAAATATAAATATAGAGAAAATAAATAGTCAACTAGAGATCGGCAAAATCGCATTCTCGGGATCCCGTTAAGGGATTTTTCTTTTAAAAATTTGCGGGACGGGATCCCGCGGGATTAATCCCGTAAATCCCGGTAATCCTCGCTCAAAAGCCGGGATTCTGGGACGGAATCCCGTAAAATCCCGTGCGGGATCCCGCCCCGTGCCGAGCTCTAGAGTCAACGTTTCTCAAAATTTCTAAAATTTTCGCTGAAATTTTTTTGAAATTTTATTTTTTAGTTGTAAAGGATGTTGTTAAATCGCCTCTTTGCTCGTTGTACTTGTTTATCCGCCTCCCAGGCAATTTGTAGAAGCTTCAGTGCAAACGGTTTCTTTTTGACTTAATCGTGTAAACCAAGGTTTAGGGCTGCCCTTTTCTTCCCCATGTTTTTTCCTTTATTTGTACGGAATCGCCAGACTTCTCCCTTCCTCAATTGCTGTAGCTGGTGCACAGACTGTTTAAACCCACGGGGAAATAGCGAAATTGTTGAGGGGAGAAATTCTGACCATTCTGTACATATAAGGGAAAACATGGGGGAGAGAAAAAGGAGGGCTCTACGGCAGTTTATGCGTCCAATCAAAATAAAATTGGATTTTTCTTGGTGTTACAAGGTTGGGGTATGGTTCCAAAATATTTTGCCATGTTCAGGACCTGCGCCCACTGGGTCTGGACCATTCCTTACCCCATTCCTCGAAATTTCGGAAAATTATAGGCTATTTTTAAAAATTTCGAGGTATAGGGTAAGGAATGGTCCCAGACCTTGGAACCATACACCAACCTTGTAACTCCAAGAAAATTTCAATTTTATTTTGATTGGACTCATAAAGAGCCAAGGGGGGACCTTAAACCCTGGTTTGCCCATTAAAATTTTATTTTCGCCCAAATTTCAGCCACACTTGTAAAATCGCCGCAAACCCCTGTAAAATTGAAAAAAGAGGAGATTGAACTTGAATTGTCCAATGTATTGAGGAATGAAGAAAATGCTCTGCAAAATGTTCGGCCTTGGCAGCAATTGGAACTTTTGCCTAGTCACAATTTTAAACATGTGGTTACTTCGGAAAAGGGGGTAAGAAATTTTTTTGATTTTGGGGTAGGGTTCGAGCTCGGACTGGACCAAGGCCTGAGTTTTTTTATGTACCCAGAGTCCAGGCCAGGCATTTTTTGATCTTCCTGGGTTTTTCCGGGGTCTGGGTTTTTCCCTTTAATACAGACCCAGAATCCGGGCCAGGTCAATAAATCAAACCCAGTAACAGGCCCAGGCTTTTGAACTCGTATCAAGTTCGAAGAACGCAACGATTTTGGTACGACCATCCAATAGAGATCGAGATTTTTGATAAGGCTGGGCCTGTTCCTGGGTTTGATTTATTGACCCGGGCCGGATCCTGTGCCTGTAGTTTAGGAAAAATCCCAAGCCCAGGAAAATCCAAGGAAGGTCAGAAAATTGCCTGGGACTGAACTTTAGGTACATTAAAATCCAAGGCATTGGGCTAGACCCAGCTCGAACTTTAAAAGTTGAGGGTCTTAAATGGCCTTTTAACCAAGATTTTTTTCATTTTCCAGGTTTGTCTACAAAAGAATTTTTTGTTTAAACGGAAAAAATGGGACGAAAGACGTGCTTTAATGGATCCTGGAGGTTTCTTTTGACTAAATTTTTCAATTAAAAATTTTTAAAAACTTTCTAGTTAAACTTCTCCATTATCCCTACACTCCATTAACTCCCCCTCCAGAATATTTGGACTCTTCCCAGTGGAACGAGGCGTTTACTTCCGCCAGAATTTTTCTTCTTGGGACAAAACATGATACAATTAAAAGTGTTAACGATGTTTGTTTGTTTTTTATTAACTTATAGAGGTCACCTATAGGGGTGTTTTTAAATTCGGGTCGGCTTTGGACGGAACACTTGAAGCCCTATAATTTTTAAATTTTGTGGCCGGAGTCAAAAAACTAAAAAATATTAATAGTTTATCGAGTACTTAGCCCCCTCCCCTGACAGTTTTTCTAATTGATGTACATAATGGTCAGTCGTTTTTTACTTGCATAATCCCGTGGCTTCATTCATTCAGGCACCCTTTCTTCAATAAGACACGTTTTTTTGTATGTGGTAAAGTGTAGTTTCCAGTCCCAATTTTTCCTCGCCAAGCTTTTTTTATTAATGTCAAAATGGTCAGACTTGTTTTCTTCCATTTCAAATGCGAAGGAAATAAATAAAAATTAATCTTTTTTGATCGTTTGTAGGCAGAATATAGAAAGGCAGATTAAGATGGAAGAGAGGAAAAGTCTGACCATTTTGTGCATATATAGGAAGAAAAATTTGGGAGGAAAAAATGTAGAGACTGGAAACGACACATTGCCGAAAGGTTCCCTTATGAGGCGAGTGACACACTTCTTTTTTTTCCGACCACGTATTAAAAAGCTTGCTATAAATTAAAATTTCTTGATTAATCTACAAAAAAATTTGCAGGTTCGCCTTTTAATGTCAGCAGTCCACGCCGATTTTGTTTTTCTTGGAATGAGTTCATCACAAGCAGAATTGCTCATTGGAAGTAATAAATTGGAATTAATGCCTAAATATTCACAAGAGAGCACTGAAAAATTTCTTGTTGAACGGCTTAAAAAGGTTTTTTTGATTTTTTTGAGGAAAGAATTTTTGTTTTTCGGGGGAAAATTTTTTCTGTTGTAAGGTGGTTTTTGTAGATGAGTTTTTCTTTTACTCGCTGCTTTTGTAGATTGACGGAGTAACTCGGTACCACTTAAGAATTGGGGAGAAGAGAGGCTTTGGCTTGGCAGGGCACCTAGTTACCACTAACATAAGAAGGGATGGGGAACCTAGCTAGAAAAGAAGGGGAAATGGCTTTTCTAGTTGACATGAAACAAGCTTAAGCCTGACATGGAACTGACATGGGGACCTTTTTAAAGTTCTCGTATTTTTGTGAATTTTTTTTTGAAAATTGTTCACAGGAGAACCCACCTTTTTTCAGTAGTACCAACTAGATCTGGACCGAAACTAGATCTAGAACGAAAATCTCTGTTATCGTGAATCGACTTTTTAAGGTATCTCTCCTCTCTCCTTTTCAAGATATCTTCTAGATCGGCTTCCTTAGTCTGGTCTCTAGTACCAACAAGGATTCCCGTCTCGCCCTCTTCCTTTTAACTCTTAATTCTGGGCTTGAACAATTTCCAACAACAATCTGTAGCTCAATTTTTTATTTTCACTCCCTTCCAGTCCGGTCTCTGGGATCAAGACTTTTCCTATCTAGTCTCTAAAACCAACAACTCTCTCTTCTTTACCCCTATCCTTCGACTCATTTTTGGTTTGAACTAAAATTCCAATAAAGCCCCTTCTCAATTTTTTAAAATTTTTTTCAGGAAGGTATAACAGATATTCCAAAAGCTTTAAGCAAAATGTCGGTCAAAGCGCATCTTAAAAACCTTCACACATTACGACAACATTGCCAAAAATATATGTGTAAATACAGTGAATTCACGTTTGCTAGAAATGCTTTGCACGAAACAATTCCTGGATGTGCTGGATTCATTCTAGGATTGCCTAGGGTTTTTTTAATTTTTTTTAATTTTTGGTACTTTTCTGTTATACACCCTTAAATTCTTTGGCTGTGCTTTTCCCAGTGGCAGTTACTCAGTTTTTCATTTAATTACTTTTTGATTCGTCCCGTCGGTGTAAGTCTAATGGCCACACTTTTTATGATCGGAAATGCTTGGGGGCCGCTATATACGTCCAAATCCATCGAGGGTTCATAGCTTAATTTAGGAGGTCAAAAATCCGATCAAAGTTAAGCCAGGTGTGCTAAAATGGGGAGGGGGTTAAATAGCCACATGGTAAGATTACCTCCATTCCGGAGGGGAGGAAAATTTTAGGCAGCCCTAGATCCGATATATTCCAAATGACAGCGCATTCGGAAGTAAGTTTGGCGGTTCCGGGTATCCGAAATCGAAAAAACCCCGGATATCCGGAAATTTTAGGTTCGGATATCGGTTACGGATTTTCCGGATCTGGGAATTTTCCAGGAGCCGCCATCCTTATTCGGAAGGGCTCGTCGATCGGAGTCGAATGTCACAAAAATCAACATGACTCGATGATTCTGAATAAAATTATGATAACAGAAAAGTACCAACATTTTTAATTTTTTAGGAAGAAAAATTGGACAGATTAGTAGATTTGGCAGAAGAATTTTTAATTGAACACATTCTCCTTCAATTGGACCCAAATCGTCCGCCACGTATAGACTACAATCAATTGGATATTTTGTTGGGTTGGGCACGTGATTTAATTGAATGGGCAGATTATAAAGAATCTTTTAGTTTTAAATTGGATCAGGTTCCGAGAAGGTTTTTTTTTATTTTTTTTTATTTCGAGGACTCCAGCTGGCCATTAGACCCTTCAAATCCCTTACTAGCTCTCGCAAGTTCCCCAGTATCCCGCTTAATCCTCCCAAATCCTTAGACGTCAACGTTGATCTGGTTTAAGGGCCATTAAAAGTATTTTTATCGCTTACTGGGCTCTTCAAATTTTTTACGAGCTCTCCTAGATCTTTCAGAATCCCTCTTATTATTAGTACTTCCAAGTCCTGTTAATCCCCTTCATTGGAACTTTACTGATTGTGAGGTATATACATCGTGCGGACTCAATCTAACAGCTCCGAAGCCCCGGTAGCTTGGTTGGTTCAGCACCTCAATACTGAACCCCTTAGGCACAAGACAGGGGAAAAGGCTTGAGTCATCATTTAAGAGGGAGAGTCCTGGACTGTTTAAGCACTTGGTATAACTGCTAGGGGAGTCTCAGGATCAATGCCTCCCCTTAGGCCAAGCTTCTACCTTTCTCTTCTATTAAAAAATTTTTTTTCAGGGGAAAAGTTTTACAAGAAGACAATTTCAAAAAAGCAGCGCAATGGTTTGATAAATTTATTGATGAAAATTTTTCTGATGGAAGACAGGCTATGATTTTACGTCAAAATAGGTTTTATTTTGGATTAGAATTTTTTTCTAATTTTTTTTTATTTTTTAAAGGGAGATGGTTAAAAATTTACAAACATTAATACACAGAGGAACGATAGAAAAGCTGGCTGCTGCACAAAGGCAGAATGGTATTTTTTAGAAACTTAGGGTTTTTTTAAGGTATGGCTTCCAAGTGATTAGCCAGGTGAGGGGACCCCCCCCCCCCTCCCGAATGGGAAAATGAAAAACTAATTTTGTGAGGGAATGATCAAAAAAGTATATACATATAAGATATCCCCTATGCTAGATACACCTCATTTGTGGAATACTCTTCCCTGGATCAACCCAGGAGGTCAAAACCTAGATTGTCAATTACCTCAAAAATCCAAATATTTGAGAGATAAAGAAGGATTTATGCAGATTAAGTCTGATTTTGGGTACTAAGGGGATATTGGAGGATCTGGGCGGATTAAGATGGATTTGGTGAGTTATGGGGGATTTTAGGGACATAAAACGGAAATTCTCAACTGTCGGATAAGGCAAAAGGAAGCAAGCAAACGGATTCTTGATCAGAGTCGGCTTTATCTAAACTAATATTTGGATTTGACTGTTTGGCCTTTTCGACGTTTTTTTCAGCGATTTTGCATTTTCGGCGTTATAAAATTACGAAACGCTACGGAATTTTTCTATTTTTAGCCTTATAAAATTTTTAAAAATTTTTATTTTTAAAGTTGACCATTTTGAACCCCTCACTGTTATTGCTATTGTTGGTCATCGACATGTTCCTGGAATTTGTGAAATTTGGGATCGCCCAGAGGAGGTTTTTAATGTTGAAACAGAATAATATTTTAGAGAAAATATTTTTTTGGTTGTATTTTGTTTTTAAATTTTGTTTTTTCGTTTTTTATAAAAAATTTTAGGAAATTTTTTTTCGTTTGGAAATTTTTGTAATTTTCATTTAAAAATATTTTTTTAAATTAATTTTTTTTAATTTTTAGAATTTTTTGGCTCTTGTCCAGTTTATGGGTCCAATTTCACCTTTGTGCGTCCAATAAAATGTCTATGCGTCCAAAAAAATTTTTATGCGTCCAATAAAAAGTCTATGCGTCCAATTACACCTTTATGCGTCCATAAAAGTTTATGCGTCCAAACAAAATTTTCATGCGTCCAATTCAAAATTTTGTGTCCACTAAAACTATGCGTCAGGGGTGGACGCAATTGCGGATTGCGCAAAAAATTTGAAGATTTTTTTTGACTTGCGGATTTCTTTTGCGGATTTTAAAATTAAAATTGCGGATTGCGACCGCGGAAAATTTTTTCGTTTGCGTCCACCTCCGATTTGGACGCATAAAAATTTAGTTGGACGCATAAAAATTTATAAAGGTGTGATGTGACGCAAAACATTTTATTGGTCGAAAAAAAATTTTTTGGACGCAAAAAAAAATTTTGGACGCAAAAAGAGTGATTTGACGCATAAACTTACTAAAGCCAATTTAAAAAATTTTTTTGGAAATAGCCTAGCATAAATGGAAATTCCAGCAAAAAAGAATTTTTCAAAGTCTCTTCCAATATGGCTACAAATAGGTGGATCTCTTCCCGTCTTAAATGAAAAAACATTTTCTATAAAGGATATGAAGCCTTCCAGGGTTTATTTTTTGATTAAAAAAATTTTTTTTTGATTTTTAAAGAAATCTGCTCCTCGTTTGGTTCTGACGGTCCCTCCAAATTTGGAAGAAAAACGTGTCAAAATTTCCAAAACACCACTTATATTGAAATATTTGAAGAATAATTGGATATGGCATAACAAAAATGGGACTGAGGTTTTTTAAAATTTTTTTTAGAAATTTTTGGTTGGAATATTTTTTAAAAAATTGTAAAATAGGGTTGTTGGCGGCCTGTTAATTTTTTGCGCCACTGGTGGCTCATATGCTGAATTTTTAGGGCGTTCTAGTTCCACGAGCAAAAATTAACTCACCAACAACCCGACTGGGGAAAAATTTTCGGTAAATCCTATACGTCTTTTAACAATAGAGAGGACGATTTGGGGGGGGGGTTAAAATGGTGTGTGCCCGTTGTAAATATATTTTTATTTTTTTCAGCGACGCCGGCGAAAATTTTTTAACTTTGCAAGTCGTCCTAAAAATTCACTTTTTTGATCATTTCCCTCCCAAAAATTTTCATTTTCCATATTCCCCCCGGCTACGCCCTTGGGAGATGTTTTCTTGTCTACCTGTTATTTACTTATAATTTATTTTTAGAAATGCCCAACCCCTCCAATATCAAGAAAACGACGAAGAACAACACCAACAGAAAGAGACGATGATGATAGTTCATCGAATAATGAGGGAGACGATACACCTGAACGTACAAGATTTAGACCTTCTGAAGAAATTGTTGAAGGGCAACGAGGAATGGAAACTGAACAAAATGGTTGGTATAAATTTTTGATTTTTTTGAAAAATTTTCTTTTGGGTGGGTTATTTGGGGGTTAGATCTGTAAGTATTTTGACCTCTGAACCAAAGGTGTAGAATAGAGCTGTGCCGTGCGTGCCGGGCTAACTCACGGAACGGACAAGTCACAAATAGACAGGTCACAGGACGACCAACTCACGGAATGTCCAAAACACGAAATATTTTAAAAATCGAAATTTTTTTGAAAGATCAAAGAATTCTGATTTCTAAAAATATTCCGTGTTTTGGTCGTTTCGTGACCTGTTTATTCCGTGATTTGGAATTCCTCGAGTTAGCCTCCCCTTGCCGTGAGAGATTTTTAAAAGCGAAAATGCGAAAGTCAATTTAAAAAACGGAAGCCGGAACTGACACACCCCTGGGGTATTTTTGAGTTTTATCCGACGGACAACCCGTAATGTCAAAATGCTAAATCCCCAAAAGTCTCTAAAATGCCAAATTGTTGTATTTGGGTAAAAATTTTTTTCTTTATTCCATGGGTAATATTTGGGCGTCAGTGATTTCCTTTAAGACAGTCCATTGGGGCTGGAGGCAATTGCTGACTTTGTTGTTTTTTTTTGACTTGCGGACTGCTGTTGCGGATTTTGACTTGCGGAATTTAAAATTAAAATTGGGGCCGAAAAATTTTTTTTTCATTTTTAAGTATCAATTCCAACAATTTCTGCTTTAAATGAAACAGCAGCAAATGAAGGAAGAGAAGTAATTATACACCATTTTAAACACGATTTTTTAACTCGACAACAACTTGAAAATAGGGGGGAAGGAGAACAGAGTACCTCAACAAATACCTTCCAAATTAATTTAAATACGTGTATGGCTGCGAGAGAAATTGAACAAGATAAAGAAGAGGAAGGGATGGAGGGAGAAGGGAATGAGGATGAGATGAATAATGATGAAGGAAGATGAAACTAACTGTTTAATAAATGGGGGTACTTGTGCAGTTTCCGCCCCATAGTCTCCGTCGCTTTTTCTTGTCTCCTTTTTTGTTATAAAGGGATTTGTTTTATGAAATAAACAAAAATGAAAATATTGACCTGTCACTTTGTAATCAAAAGAGGGAAGAAAAAAGTTTGGGGTTTATGGGGGGTAAACTACACAAGTACCTAAATATTTGTTAAAATTGGTAATTTTTTGTTAATCTTTTCTCTCTTTTTTGAAGACTTCTGGAGCAGGTCTAAGTTCCTCTAGCTCAGTCTGCCGCCAAACTAAAACTTGGTTCTGACTTGTCGGATCCGGGACACCCTAATATGGTTCGTTGTGCCTCGACGAGCTGAATCGAACCATACAGGACGTGCCCGAATTTGATACTTTTGAACCAAGTTGTAGCCTTGTGATACATTGGGCTTGCGGTCCTAGGGAGCAGGGGTGGGTCGGAATTCAGATTTCCGAAAAAATTTTGATTTCCTAGTTCCGACTTTTGCGCCAGTTCCTATTTCAGCTCTTCCGATTTCCGACACCTCTGACTGTACCGATCCACCTCTGCTTGGGGGGTACCTTTAAATTTTGGGGTATTTAAAAAAATTGTATAGTCAAAAATCACTCGCGAATTCATAATTATTATCTTTTGATTTCATTTAAAAAATTTACAGACAGACCTCTTTTTAGGTTACTGAAAAAGTTTTAGGAGTATTTTAAATAGCTACAGCATTTTTATAGGTGCCAGTGGTGTCTTAAAAACTGATTTCGTTTTCGCCACCGAAAACGGCGTAAAACGAAACAGACCCACGTTACTCATAGATAGGTGTAGCTTCAACCACGTGCGGACATTTGGAGACTGAATTGGGGGGGGGGGGGAGCAGACAATTGATCCCATTTGGCCGTTTACTTACCCCAAGTGTTCATTCCCCAATTGTCTACTATCCAAATCCAAATATCCTCTCCCTAAAAATGTCAGAAAACCACTACCCATTAGGCCAACCTCATAAAAATGAGGTTCTCCCCTGTTTGAGGTTAGAGGTCTGTCTGTATTTTATAAATTTAATGTTTTTCTTTCTGATTTTTTCCCAAAAACTTCCAATTAAAATTTTTTCTTCCTCTTTTATCATTTCCTTCAATTTAATTCACATAAAAAGGCAAATTTGCTGTTGCTGCAGCATTTTTATTATCCAAAGCAGCCATATAAAGGCGATATCCCCCAGTTTGCAAAGCCCCTAAATTTAGGGTGACGCCAGTTTTACTTGAAGATTTAATTGCGGAGGTAGTGACGTCGTCTCCCGCAGCATCGGTTCTTTCCTTTAAGACACTCCATTTTACAGTAATTGGGTCATTATTAGGGTCTGATACAGCCAATGTTGCTGTTGGAACCTGAAAATTATTTTGGGTTAGTTTTATCTGTTGGAATTTAAAAACCCCATGGGGGCGGTGGTAAATTGTTATGAGGAATGCCCAAGTGAATGGGTGGGACCCGACCCGTCTAATCACGACCCAAACCCAAACTTTTTTTGTCTATACTGACCATGAACGATTCTCTCGAACCCGGTCCTGCAGTAACTCAGACTCCAAAACACATCTCATAGCCTAGCCCAGAACATTCCCCATAGCGTATAATGGAGAGGAATGCTAAGGTGGGTGTATTATATAGAGTTGGACCCCGGATCATCTAACCCCAAACCCTAACGATTTTGTCGAACCCTATCTTCGGCATTCTCAACTGGGGTTGTCGGTTTTTGGAAAATCTTCGAAACCGAACCGAAAAATCTCGGTTCTTCGGTTCGGTTCCGAATCGACAACCCTATTCTCAACCTACATATGGTCCCCTGCTCCGACTTCTTGACCCCAATGATACCTATTAGCAGATATGGGAGGGATCCAACTTTAAAGACGTTACCTCATCTTTGTTCCATCTATTTTTGTTTTTTCCATCTTGGAAGCTAAAGCTGCCAATTCTCGGAGCACCATTTGAAAGTCGTCCACCCCATTGTTTAGCTAGTACCTCAGCAGTCCTCTCGTACTCATTATTGCTGAAGGGAAGCAAAAAACTGTGCCATGTAGGTGTTGCTTCAATCTTCGTTCCCCAATAAAAGACTATCGTGCCTTGAACCTTTCCTTTTAACATAGTCATATATTTATCCAAATCAGTTGCCTTTTGATCGCTACTGGGTTCGATTGAAGCCTTCCAATTAGTTATTTGTGCTTGCCAATGTCCCAAGGGGCCTGTTTCAGCGATGACTAAGGGCCCTGTCCATCCTTGTGAACGTGCTCTATTTACAACCGTAGGTAGTCCAGGACCATAAGAATTGACTCCAAGAATCTTAAATCGTTTGATTAAATATTATAACAGAGTTTCTTATATTGTCACGAGGGACCGTATTGGGGGGGGGGGGATAGCGAAGAATAACAATCATCATTGGAGACCGTAGAATGATCAGAAATCTATCTTTCTGAACTATATTCTCTCAAAAATACCTGAAGTTTTCCTTAAATCTCCTTCTCTCTCAAATGTCTCCAAATCTTTCTTATGTCTCAATCACGAGAGTCCCGCTTCAAATCACAGAGAGAGTCTCTTTCTCTCTCTCCGATGAGAAAGAGACTTTTCAGAAAATGTCTTAGTGAGTCTCTCTGATTGTTCGAAATCAGTGAGAAGTGACTTCCGAGACCATAGAGTGATCAGACCGAGCTTCCGCGTCTCGAAGAGCATACCTTTCGGAATATAATTTGTCCCAAAAGATGAGGGTAGGGGGAGGATTAAGCAGCATAGACAACACAAATTCTCTACCTGAATACTAGGAGCGTATTTCTTTATTTCAGTAGCCTTCCCATAAGTTGTAAGGTTACCAACATCCGCAACTACAGTCATAGTAGGGTGATTCGGGTCTAATCCTCGTACCAATTCAGAAGCAGTATTAATAGCTTTCCATACAGCTACAGTTTGGGCTGAATTTGTTGCCCCAAATTCAACCTCATTTCCAATCCCCCAACACAGAATTGCCGGGTGGTTTTTGTATTTATTTACAAAAACTTTCAGTTTTGCGAGTTGATCAGCCATCTGTATTATTGAAGGGGGGAATTTTTGGTTCGGTTTCAATCAAATAAAATTTATTCTAATAATAGCCCTATATTAGATCTTTTGGGCTAAGTTATATCCAATTAAGGGGGCAGCATACTCCCCCTCCCTCTCTACATTCAAGGGGAAGGGTGGGTACTCCCTGCTCCTATTCAAGGGAGAGGGAGACATACTCTCCCCACACACACATTCAATGGGAAGGGATACTCTCACTCCTCCTATTCAAAGGGTGTGAGTATGCGATACTCTCCCCTTCCCCTATTAAAAGGAGGGGGTATCTTCCTATTAAAGGAGTGGTACCTATTTAAGGGGGGGGGTCGTTAGCCTCAAATCGTTAGCCTCAGCCCATTTGACAATAGCCTCTTTAATTGCCTTCTTAGGCTTATCTTCACTCTCAGCCAACATTTTAAAGTATTCATCTCTAGCCTTTTCACTAGCTTCGAGTACAAAATCGAGGGGAGGGCCTGGAGCGGGATACGGCAAGCGCTTTCCGCCTCCATAGAAAGAAGGTGGTTGATGGTGGCCGCCAAACTTGTCATCCTTTCCCCCTTTTCCTTGAGGAGGAGGACCTTGAAGACGTGGAGAGGCAGAAGAAAACGAAATTATTGAAATAATTAAAATAAGGGTTAGAAGGTTGATCATTTTTGGAAGGTCTCTAAAAAATTTTTTAGTGCAATGAAAAAATTTGGGCCTTACAGCCCACAAGTAGTGTGAAGGGACCAATGGAGATGTTCCCTACAGCCCACAAGTAGTGTGAAGGGACCAATGGAGATGTTCCCTACAGCCCACAAGTAGTGTGAAGGGACCAATGGAGATGTTCCCTACAGCCCACAAGTAGTGTGAAGGGAGCAAGGAAGATGTTCCCTACAGTCATAGTAGGGTGATTCGGGTCTAATCCTCGTACCAATTCAGAAGCAGTATTAATAGCTTTCCATACAGCTACAGTTTGGGCTGAATTTGTTGCCCCAAATTCAACCTCATTTCCAATCCCCCAACACAGAATTGCCGGGTGGTTTTTGTATTTATTTACAAAAACTTTCAGTTTTGCGAGTTGATCAGCCATCTGTATTATTGAAGGGGGGAATTTTTGGTTCGGTTTCAATCAAATAAAATTTATTCTAATAATAGCCCTATATTAGATCTTTTGGGCTAAGTTATATCCAATTAAGGGGGCAGCATACTCCCCCTCCCTCTCTACATTCAAGGGGAAGGGTGGGTACTCCCTGCTCCTATTCAAGGGAGAGGGAGACATACTCTCCCCACACACACATTCAATGGGAAGGGATACTCTCACTCCTCCTATTCAAAGGGTGTGAGTATGCGATACTCTCCCCTTCCCCTATTAAAAGGAGGGGGTATCTTCCTATTAAAGGAGTGGTACCTATTTAAGGGGGGGGGGATACCATAACCTAATTATGTAATACGCCCTAGTTGGGGTGGGCTAAATGCCCGCTATCTATGAGGGTGTTAAGTTATAGTTCCTATTTAAGGTTGGCTGGTTGACAACCTCTATTTCCTCAAGAAAATTTTTTAGCCCAAGGGGTATACTGTAATGTGGTTCGACTGTATCTTTTATAGCCCTTTAATGAAAAGGGCGTTTATTAGAATAATTAAATTTTAATTCTCTTCTTACATTTTTATCGTTAGCGTCTTGGTAATTCACATAGCCTTGAGAAACCTGCCCCAACCAAAATCCAGCAACTATTTTAAGTCCAGCTTTGGAGGCAGGCTCTATAATCTGATCAATTTCATCTCCATAGGTTCTAATAACATTCCCTCCCAATTGCTTCAGTAAATCAAAGCGAACATTTCCGGCAGCACCATTGGCAATGAAAGGCTTGCCATTAACCAAAATTTGTTGTCTGTTAACGGTTACTTTGTCTAATGATGAGGCTTTGTTAAATAGATAAAATAGGAAAATAATTGAGTAGAATAGAGACATTTTGGGTGTTTTTCTGAAAATTTTTAAAAAATTTTTATGAGAATTTTTTATATGATACTCTCGTTTATGTACAGTATACCTTCCTTTATATTCCCTATTTTCTACCCTTCCTTTGTCGGACTTGGTGTGTGAAAGGGACCATTCTTGGTAGTACGAAAGGAACATTCCTAGTAGTGTGAAGGGAACATTCTTTGTAGTACGAAGGGAACATTCTCAGTAGTGTGAGGGGAACAATCATGGTTATGTGAAAAGACATTTTCGATAGGGCGAAAGGAACATGTCTGTAATGCGAAAAGAACATGTTCTGTAATGTGAAGGGAACATTTTTTGTAGTGTGAAGGGAACCTTCTTGGTAGTGTGAAGGGATCCTTCAAAAGGTATTCTTGGTAGTGTGAAGAGAACATATGTAGTTTGAAGGGAACATTGGTGGTGTGAAGGGAACATCTTCGGTGGTGTGAGGGGAACATCGGTAGTGTGAAGGGAACATCTTCGGCGGTGTGAAGGGATCATCGGTAGTGTGAAGGGAACATTATTGGTAGTGTGAGGGGAACACACGATACTGTAAAGAAAAGTAGCAATCACTGCCTTCTATTTAAGATACACCTCAATATAAGATACAACTATATTTCGGTTTCAAGGGACATCTTAGGAGCGGTGTGACTATATTAAAATTTTAATTAATATAAAAAAATTTTTTTCTAGTAGCGATTAAGTCAATGAAAACGTGGACGTTTTTTAAGCGTTAATGTTGAGTATTATATAAAATAAAATTTAATGGCTTTCAAAATTATTTAAATATTGAGTGATAACTTTGCTTACGCATATTCTTGTTTGAATCTTTTTTTAGAAAAATTTTTTTAGAATTTTTTTTGCAAATTTTGTATGTCTACCTGCCTTTAAGCTTTATTAATCTTAATTTGGAAGGAATAATCTTTAATTTTATTTTATTTAAAATTAAATATTCCCTCATAAAAATTAAAATAAATTTTATTGAAACAAAAAAAGGCTTTAAAATGAATAGGTGGGTAAATAAAAATTTTTTTTAATCCCTTAACTATAGGGTTGGGGTCGTTTTGGCGCCTAAGCATTTTGGCGCGGGACTCAAAATTGGCACTTTGGCAAACCCTAAATTTATGAAATTTTTCTCAAATTTACTTAACATCCTTGACTACCTTCTCCAGAAATTTCAGAATTTTTCATCAAATATTTCCAAAGTTATAATCGATAAACCTCAAAAAAATAGGCTATTTTAAGGGAATCGACATTTCTGGGGCCATAACTTCTGAAATTATTTTTTAAAAATTCTGGAATTTTTGGGGAACTTAGATAAAACTATGAGTGTTATCATAGCAAAAATTTTATCCTTATAGATAAAATCCTTATAGATAAATTTTATCCTTATAGAAATTTTATCCTTATCTACTCATCCATCTCATAAACAATTTAATAGACTTATGTTTAAATGCAGATCCTCAAAAAACGCTCATTCCTTTGTTAATAGAAGCTCTTCACTATGGAATACTCTAGATAAAGTTACATTAAACTCCCACTCAATATTGTCTTTTAAACACAGAATTACTCAGCTATTTATAAACGAAATATAAAAAAAATAGACTATAAAAATAAAAAATATGGTATTTCCCCAAAAAAAAAACATTTACATAAAAAATTTCTACATAAAAATCTAATAACTTAAATTAAATTTTATGCTTACTACACTATCTATACATGTGTGGCTTCCCCAATACTAAATATAGTTAATTTTTTTATACTAAATTCTAACTGTCAAATAATTAGAAAAAAATTATTACTTTTACAAATTATTATTATTTTTTACTATTAAACACACACCAATTTTTTTCTATTATTTTACAGTTGGAAAGACCTATCACAATGTTTTTTTATTTATTTTTTATTATTTACAATTTATGTTTTGTTTTTATGCATATCCTTTGACCTCCCATTTATGACTTTTTTTTTGACTTAAACTTTATTTAAATTTATCCGACAACGATGTTAGTGGATTCCCTTTCGTTGTATATTTTTAATTTTTGAATAAATAAATAAAATAATCAATTCAATATTTTATAAGCTCGCGCCAGTCAAAGGGGGAAAGGGGAAAGAAATGTCCCAAAAATGTGCGCCATAACGGCGCAAAGCCATAACTAGTTGGAAAATTTCTGGCCCTTTACAATTTTTGTACCATTCTTTTTAGCTCGATGAGAGGAATCGTTTAATACCAAATTTGGTATAATTCGCGGTATCTTGAAGCAAGTTAACGCTTTGCGCCGTTATGGACGCGCGCCGTTATGACCCCCTTTGGAGCTGTACGCGCGCCGTTTTTTGGGCTGTATCGGTGGGTAAATAAAAACTAAAAAAAATTTTTTTCTCTAAAAAATCCTTAGCCAACGTCAATAGAATAATCTAAAAATTTCAAAAAATTCCAAACAAATTTTTTAAACAAATTTTTTATCGATTTTTGGGATTAAAATTCCACCAATAATTAACGAAAATTAAATTAAAAAATTAATTTTCTCCTCCCAATTTTTTCAAAATTCTTCTTGAGGTTCAAAACAACGCTGGGAAGGAGGTCCACTTATTTGTGGACTAACCAAAGGAACCATGTGGCGAATTTTTGTTTTTAATTCTGAGAGAACGGCATTGATTTGTTGGCATTCCTCTCCTCGGGTGAGTTGATCAGCTTGGGTGATGTCCTGAGGAAATAAAAAATTAGTTTTCAAAATGTCAAAAAACGCCAAATATTTCAAAATGTCAAAAAACGCGAAATATTTCAGAATGGTAAAAACCAGAAAATATTTCAAATAGTCAAAAATCAGAAAATTAGATTTCAAAATGTCAAAAAACAAAATATGTCAAAATGTCAAATAACGGAAAAAATTTCAAAATGTCAAATAACCAAAAATGTGTCAAAATGTCAAAAACCAAAAAATATTTCAAAATGCCAAAAAACGCCAAATATTTCAAAATGTCAAAAAACGCCAAATATTTCAAAATGTCAAAAAACGCCAAATATTTAAAAATGTCAAAAAACGCCAAATATTTCAAAATGTCAAAAAACGCCAAATATTTCAAAATGTCAAAAAACGCCAAATATTTCAAAATGTCAAAAAACGCCAAATATTTAAAAATGTCAAAAAACGCCAAATATTTCAAAATGTCAAAACTAGAAAAAAAGTCAAAATGCCACATAACAGAAAATCCTTCAAAATGCCAAAAACCGAAAATATTTAAAATGTATCATACAGTACCCCACCCCCCCCCCTTAAGAAAAACCAACCCAAATCTTTTTAAACGCCTCCAAAGCTTTTCCGGCCAGATTCTCAACAACCACATCATGGAAAGCCTTGCGCTTCTTGTAATGTTCACTTGTTGATTCCTCATATATTTTCTGAAATTTTTTTTTAAATTTTGAGAGAAATTCGGTACTATTGCCTCAGGTGTTTTTTGCTCATGCCCTCAGGAAATATTTCAAAATTCGAGGCGACCTAGGCAAGTGATAGCTCATTCAACGCGGCTCGACGAGCTGAGTCGCATGCTGAGAAAATTAGCCAGATTTCTGTATAGCCTCAGGCATTTTTGCCAATTGCCCTCAGGCAATATTTCAGAATTGAAGGTGGCCTAGGCATGTGATAGCTCATTCGACGCGGCTCGACGAGCGGAGTCGAATAGTCAAAAATCAGCCAGATTGGGTCAATTTTGAATAAGTTATGAGCGATTTACTGGACCAACCTACCAGTGGCAATTGTACCGAAAATCCAAAGGAATCCAAAAAAATCCAAAAAAACCTTTAGATCGTTAGCCTCAGCCCATTTAACAATAGCCTCCTTAATTGCCTTCTTAGGCTTATCTTCACTCTCAGCCAACATTTTAAAATACCCCTCTCTAGCCTTTTCACTAGCTTCAAGTACAAAATCGAGGGGAGGGCCTGGAGCGGGATACGGCAAGCGCTTTCCGCCTCCATAGAAATGAGGTGGTTGATGGTGGCCGCCAAACTTGTCATCCTTTCCTCCTTTTCCTTGAGGTGGGGGACCTTGAAGACGTGGAGAGGCAGAAGAAAACGAAATTATGGAAATAATTAAAAGAAGGGGGAGAAGGTTGATCATTTTTGGAAGGTTTCTAAAAAATCTTTTGTTGAAGCAAAAATAATTTGGGCCTTGCAGCCCACAAGTAGTGTGAAGGGACCAATGGAGATGTTCCCTACAGCCCACAAGTAGTGTGAAGGGACCAATGGAGATGTTCCCTACAGCCCACAAGTAGTGTGAAGGGAGCAAGGAAGATGTTCCCTCCAGCCCCAAGTAGTGTGAAGGGAACAACAGAGATGTTCCCTCCAGCCCAGAGGTACGTGAAGTGAACAACAGAGATGTTCCCTACAGCCCACAGGTAGTGTGAAGGGAACAACAGAGATGTTCCTTCCGGCCCACAAGTAGTGTGAAGGGAACAATGGAGATGCTCCTTTCAGCCTACAGGTAGTGTGAAGGGAACAATGGAGATGCTCCCTTCAGCCTATAGGTATCTTTGTAAATAAAGAAAATCTTTGGAAATAAATGACAAAAAGGAAGAGATTAAAGAGAAGATAGGGACTAATCCTCTTTCTAATCCTACTTTGTAAAAAAGACGAGAAAGAGAAGTGGTCTTTTTGCGTCTTTATTTAATACCTATTTTTAATGGCCATTTATTGACAACCCACGTCTTGATTAATTTCAACAAATATTCCGAGGGGGAGGAGGGTGGTAGAGGGAAAGGGATGGGAAGTGTAGGCGGGTCTTTATTCGCCAAATAAAATTAATTTTGTTTTTAAACAATTTTTGGTGCAGCTGTTTACGTCCAAAAAACCCAAGTCTAACTAAAAGAACGAAAGATTGTTGAAAAAAGAAAATAAATCAAAAATAAGGCCCAACTTTAAGAAAATATTTTTTGAGAAAAAATAAAGAATAAAATGATTAATGGAGTTTGGATGAGTAAAAAATTCTAATTAGTTTACATCGATGTAGGTAAGAACAATGATCACCAAATTTGATTTTACATTGTTTCCTTTCAGCCCATAAGTAGAGTGAAGGGAACATAATGAGATATTCCTTCCAGCCCAGATGTAGTGCGAATGAGTAGGGTGGAAGGCACATAATAAAGATGTTCCTTCCAGCCTAGGTATAGAGTGAAGGACTTAATAAATGTTCCTTCCAGCCTACGAGTAGTGTGAAGGGAACATAATAAAAATGCCGCTTCCTGCCCACGAGTAGTGTGAAAGGAACACAAAATGTTCCTTCCAGCCTACGAGTAGTGTGAAGGGAACATAATAAAAATGCCGCTTCCTGCCCACGAGTAGTGTGAAAGGAACACAAAATGTTCTTTACAGCCTAGTAGTGTGAAGGGGCTCGATGTTCCTTCCAGCCTAGGAGTATTGTGAAAGAAACATGAGATGTTCTTTCCAGCCTAGTAGTGTGAAGGGGCTCGATGTTCCTTCCAGCCTAGGAGTATTGTAAATGAAGAAATAGGGAGGTTCCCTCCAGCCCAGAAGTAATGTGGAAGGAACATACATATAGAGGTTCCCTCCAGCCCAGAGGTACTGTGAAGGGAACTTAAAATAACTAAAAATAGTTCAAATCAAACGTTCAAGTACGCTTAATTACGTCAGAAAAAAATCTTTATTTTGTTGATTTTTAAACATATGGCTTAACAAAATGGATTGAACGTAAACATACGTTCAATCCAAACAAACACATCTCAAAAAATTGATCAAAAATGTGTTCAAATTTTGTTTATTTTATTCTAATTTTAATAGTATTTGGTAATATTAGTGGAAAGAACCTTCCTGGAACTAAAATAAAATATTGTGGAGACCGTTATGAACAGTGGATAAATAAGGTGAATTTTTGAAATTTTAAGGATGAATTATACAGAACCAATCAGTCGGACCTCACTATTAAACACTCCCAGTTCTATATAAACCTCTATTTAAGGTAAGCTCTTGTTTGGTCATAGGGGGAGCAGATGATAACACCCCAAGATGTTCCTTTCAGCCTATGTATGGTGTGAAGGGAACTAAAAAAAGATGTGCCTTCCAGACCATGGTAGTGTGAAAGGACAGGTAGTGTGAAAGATACAAATAAAGATGTTCCCTTTAGCCCACAAGATTGTGGAAAGAACACCGATCTAAAAGGGTTATATAAAAGGATGTTCCTCCCAGCCTCGTATAGAGTGAAGGGAACATAATAAAAAATGTACCCTTCAGCCCATATATAATGTGAAAGGTACATACCACCCTTCCATCCCTCAAGTAGGGTGAAGGGTACGTAGCAAAAATGTTCCCTCCAGCCCATAAGTAGGGTGAAGGGTACATAACAAAGATATGTTCCCTCCAGCCCATAGGTGGGTGAAAGGTACATTACAGAGATATGTTCCTCCCGAGCCCACAAGTAGGGTGAAAGGTACATAATAAGGATTAAGTCCCTCCAGCCCACAAGTAGTGTGAAGGGTACACAATAATTTGTTCCCTCCAGCCCACAAGTAGTCTGAAAGGAACATAAGAGGGTGGGGTCTGATGAGGTAAATGAGTCTGAATGAGGTGCGGTAATGAGGTGAATAGGGTCTCATTGAGGTCCCAAATGAGGCTCTACTGTTTTAATTCTAACAGATATGCAAATGGCCCGGTGAATACGATCCGTGTCTTCAACTTCACCTTAACACAAGTAAGAGACACGCTTAACTTTTTAAATTTCCCAAAAATTTTCTAGAAGACCGCATTAAAAACAAATGTTGTAATGTTGGTTGCAACATAGAGGAGACGAAAGAAGCATGTTGCTTTACACAAGAATGCCTAAATCGTTGCTATCCTGGGAAGTCATATATTGCGGGGGATGTATTTTGATATAAAAAATAAATTTGTAATTGAATAAATTTTTTATTAAATCGTTCTATTTAATGAGATATTCTGAAAAATAGTTGAGCGATATCTTCTCTCTTATATTTGAAGTAAAATATCAGATTAAGGAGGATGTCGGATTAAGGATGATAGAACTAAGGATGGTAGAAAGGATGATAGATTTTTTTAGTTGCTTTTCACGCTAGATAATAGCAAAAATAATTTGACAGTTTTAATTAAAATTAAAAGTCTAAACTTCTATTTTGCGAACAACCTAACCATTCAACCAACACATAAAACTCAAAATTAATATTTAAAGTTTATACATTCTCAATAAAGTTAATATCATTAATTCGTATTTTTATAGACAAATATCAGCATAAATCCTTTTTCTTTATTGTAATTCGCGCCATTTTAATCAGTTGATGTTGCGTCACGTTGAACGTTATCTGAATTAAATTTATTATTTTATAAATTAAGTATATTTTTTGTATACTAAAATGAAATTATAGGTAATAAAAGCAAAAAAATTTAAATACCAAATTAATTTTTTGACATTAGAGACTCCCAATGCTTCGTGGCAGCCTCTCTGGGATGCTGCAGAGAGTTCCGCAATTGAGGTAGAACACCCCTCATTTGCCCCAGCAACAGCAACACTTTTAACTACTCTACATAGAGATGTTGAAAAATTAACTACAGCCACAGCAAGAGGTGCACAGACAGGCTCCATAACTTTCATGACATCCGCAACTATTTTTCGGTACTTATTTAGTATCCCATCCCTCACTATTTGAGTCTCAGATTAATTTTCTTTTTATTGTCAAACATTTATTTTTCTCAGGCATTTTACAAAAATTAATCTGAGACTCGGAAAGGAATGGGATACTAAATAAGTACCAAAGGTAGATCGGAATTCCGATTTCCGACGTTTTTCTCCTTCCGATTTCCGACAATTTAGGCTGATTTCCGCTTTTTAAGCCATTTCCGACTGTTCCGATTTCCGGCACCTCATTTCCAATCCACCTCTGATAATTACCTATCTTTCTGCAGCAATCTTCACTCACGAATACGGAGAGTCTGCAATAGTTATTTTGCGAGACTTCCATATCATGCTTCAAGTTATTCCTGCATGAGGTCTCCACGGAGGAAACGTTAAAAACCAGCTTCTCGCAGTGGATATAGCCAGCAGCTCTGACGACACTTTTTCTACACGCCGACCCGGCGGCATCAGAGGCTACAAAGACGGCATCAGCACAAAAATACCGCTTTTGATCCTCGACTGTGTCTTCAGACTTCTCTACTGGACACTAAAGATTATAAAAATTAAAATTGACAAATGGGGAGTGTCGGTTTCGTTCAAAATTGTCGAATCCAAGACACCCTGGCATGGTTCAATTCGCATAGACGATCCGAATCGAAACATACTAGTAGTCCCTGATTCGGCAATTTTAACGAAGTTATCTGTACCTTTGGCTTGTTGGAACAGAGAACAGAAGAACCGAGGATTTTTTGGTTCTTCGGTTAAAAAAATAGAAGAACCCTAGAGAAGAACTAAGGTTAAAAAACTCCTACAGAAGAACCCTAGAACCCTAATAAAATACCCCCCCCCCAAGGGGTTTATTAAAAAATCTTCATGTGAATTAGTACATATTTTTCATTTAGTTTTGGAAAAATAATACAATTTTTCGCAGACGATAACGTGCGTCAGAAACCACAGTTAATTTGTTGGGTACATATTAGCTACAAATACTTAACTCATTAATAAAAACAAATAGGAAGAGGGAGAAATAAACGGGAATGGGGACCATTTTGGATTTAATTCGGGAATATGGATTTGAGAGAAGGGGTAGAATAAATAATGGAATGAAATGTTGGAATGAACCAATAGGGTAAGGAACGCACTTTATATACGATCTAACGAAAAATTAATCTTAATAATTAGTAACGCAAATTCCTCAAAGGTTGCTTCAACATTATTTATCTTGATCTTTTGAATAACGGATAGAAAAGGTTATGCATGTAAATATAAATGAAGGTCAATGTTATATTATTATATATATGTTATTTCTTGAATTAATAATTGCAAAAAATTCTTTTTTATCAAATAATTCAACCGATTATGCATGAATTTATTACTAATTCAATTTTAAAAAGGGTGGGTGAAAAATGCTTTAATGTCAACCTACGGGAACCAATTTACTCTACACACCTTTTATTTGCATGCTAAAAATGGCGACAAAGTAAACCTTATTGAAGTCGGCGAGTCGGTGTTAAGTCAGAATATCAAAAATTTCGCTTGCGGGTTAAAATGGAAAAAAGTTGCCGCAAGTTTATCTCGCTTTATCCCTATTAATCCAATAATATCCCCCCAGAATCCCCTGCCTCCCGCATAGTTCATTCAAATCCTCCCTTCAAATATCCATAAGGTTTTCACCGATAAACAACATCAAAATTTAATAATATCCACCTTAATCAGCCAATATCCTTCAAATCCCGTTTAATCGCACGATATCACTTCGAATTAATACCGTAAATCCTCTAAAATAAGCCCCTTATTTTTTCGATCGACCTCAAGAGGAGGCGTATTTTAGGGGGGGGGGGCTTATTTTTTCATGTCTAAATTTCTGAAAACTATAATTTATTACCAAATATTTAGAAAAAATTTATCTAAAATTCGATAAAATTCATCCCATACTATGCCTTTTCAAGAAAATCCTTTACCAAATACTCTCAAAGTACTCTGTCTATTGATCCTTCAGCTTAGATATGACCTCAAGAGGAGGCGTATTTTAGGGGGGGGGGTGGGTGGAGATAAGTCAAGTCTTTATTTTTCGAGATCCATGACTCCACTTAATCCTACGATATTTATACAGATGATGAATACCTTTGATATCCAACAAAATCCCCGGATATCCGTTTAAACCATCTCAATCCAATGAACTCACTAATAAAATAATGAAATCCTTCTTAATCGCCGAAATCTCTCTTAAACTCTTATCTACGGAAATCCCTATTAATCCCCACGATATCCCTCCTAATTACCCTTACTCTTCACTATACCTATATATATATATATATTCCATTAAACATACAAATCCTCCGATATCACTATTAATCACCTCAAATCCCTTGATATCTACGTTGATCCCTTTATAGACTTGTCAATCACCCACAAATATCACTTCTAATCCTTCTATATCCCTCCATGTAAACTCAACTGAGGGTACACAACAATTGGTACTTTTCTGTTTTGCCACACCCCACCCATATATTCGCAGGATACATTTTCTATTTTTCCTTAATTCGTACCGAAAACTGATAGTTACCAGTTGCTCTTGTTTGATCTCCAGTATATTTAGTCTTATATTGACCGCTATATTAAAGATAAATCATTAATAAAATTTATTCAGTCTATCACATATACAAGTGAATTAAGCGTCTGGAAAATAAATAAAATCGTGCGAAATGAGCGTATCCCCTCAAAATCTCTATTCCTTAAAATCTCTACTGGGCTAAAATGCCTTATAATCTCTACACAGCTAAAATGCATTAAAATCTCTACTCGGCTAAAAATTATTAAAATAACTATTCCTTAAAATCTCTATTCCTCATAATCTCTACAAGGGTAAAATGCCTTAAAATCTCTACACGGCCAAAAATAGGATAAAATGTCTATTTTTTCATTCGGAAGCCTTTTGAGTGCCAACGTTCAGTGCGGAAACGATGTTCTGATTTCTGGCTTATCTTTTGATATTATTTTGCTTGTATTGTTTTTGCCGCTGCGGATGAACCCAGGCATGTCCAGCGGAACGACAGCAGCCGCTCCGATACGATCACCGCAAGCAAAATGAACACGACCGCAGCGAAGCAGTCGTGTATTATATCTTCGATATTTACAGCGGATACAAGCAGATATCCGCAGCCATTTTTAAATCAATTGTATCCGTATCCATTACCAAGTCTGGGTTTTCCAATGAATAGTTCATATTTTACACTTTTGTTGAGACTCTACCGTCCATTTGCACGGTGTAGAGATTTTAATTATTTTTACCCCAGTAGAGATTTTAAGGAATAGTTATTTTAAGGAATAGAGATTTTAAGCATTTTTACCCTAGTAGAGATTTTAAGGAATAGCGATTTTAAGGAATAGAGATTTTGTATGGGAGCCGAAATGAGAATAAATCTTAGGTTGGGTCAGTTGAGCGTGGGCTGTTGAGCGTCAGCCGAATTTTGATCGGCTATAACTTTTTGATGCTTGATCCAATGCAAATGAATCATATATCATTCGAAAGCTCTCGATAAGCGCTATCTTTTTTTCAATTGGATTGATCAAGTCTTATCGCTATTTAAAAAGTTACAAGTCGCTAAGTGCAAGAAATCGTTGTTTTTCACACTTATCGACCTGTAACTTTTCAATGGGTGATCAGACCTGATCCATCCTGCTAGGAAAAAGATAGGGCTCATCGAGGGCTTTCGAATGGTATAAAATTTATTCGGATTGGTTCAAGCTAGAAAAAGTTATAGTCGATTAAAGTCGGCTGGACCGCTCTGTGGTACTTTCACACTCAACTGGCTCCCTAAATAAAATTTTCTACAAAAAATTCAAAAATGAAATAATCTTTTGAAAAAATTGAACAAATAATATAAAATAAAAATAGAAAAGAACAAAACGAAACAAACAGCAACTAAAACAAAATAGGAACTTATAGGGTATTCACTCAAAAAGTAACTCCAAAGGCCTATATGTGTTCTGATTCGGAGTGTTGCTGAGGAAAGCTGAAAAAATTAAATTTAAAATTAAAAGAAAAATAATAATAAAATCCCGAAATTCCAAAAAAAAAACACGAAATTACGAAAACGAAATTTCGAAACAAAGACAAAATTTCGAAAACGAAATTCGAAATAAAGACGAAATTTCGAAATAAAAACGAAATTTCGAAACAAGATGAAATTATGAGAACGAAATTTCGAAAAGGAAATCTCTAAAACGAAATTTCGAAATAAGGACAAAATTCCGAAACAAGACGAAATTTCGAAAATAAATTTAGAAACAAATACGAAATTTCGAAAACAATTTCGAAACAAAGACGAAATTTCGAAGAAAAACGAAATTTCGGGTACTTCTCCGTTCTGCCACACCCCCTAATTTCGAAAACGAAATTTCAAAACAAAGACGAAATTCCAAAAACGATCGAAAACGAAATTTCGAAATAAAAACGAAAGTTCGAAAAGGAAATTTCGAAACAAAGACGAAATTTCGGGTACTTCTTCGTTATGCCACACCTCCCCCCCCCTAATTTCGAAAACGAAGTTTCGAAATAAAGTCGAAATTTCGAAACAAAAACGAAATTTCGAAAAAAACGAAATTTCGGGAACAAAAAGACGAAATTTCAAATCCGAAATTTCGAATTCGAAATTTCGGAAAGAAAATTTCGAAACATTTTTAAAAATTAAATTAAAGTGCCTGAATAAATTTATTTTGTAATTGCACAATAATTTGTTTAGTTGCTTGATCGTCAGGTTTCTCCATATAATAATTTGGGAAATGCACTGTCAATTGTTCGGAAACGTCAGAATGTGTGGAGAAATAGCCGATTATCCATAAAGGCCAAAATATTGTATTACGAGTCTTAAAAGGATGGAGAATATAATTAGGGAAATGTTTCCGGAAAAATATATGTATATTAGACATTCCGGAAAAATATATTAAAGCCTTCCGGAAAATATATTAAAGCCTTCCGGAAAACATATGTAAGGCTTCCGGAAAATTATTGGACAT